TCACATGACTGGATTTAAGTCAGGAGCTCTCACTGCCTTTGTAAGCCTCTGCCTTTGTAGGGGTTTCTGAGTATCAGAGGAATCCTGCCATGTAGGTTCATGTAGAAGGCAAATACCAACAAAACACCTGAGGAAACTGCCAATTATAGCCTCTAGAGAGAATTCTGGAGGGAATCCTGCAAGGGCACCTCCAGCTTACCTGCATGGGGGACTTGGCATAATTGTGATTGTCCAAAAAGGCTGGTAGCCGCTGAACAATGGGAGTAGGGGTGGGGGGGACCCCATTGAGACTGCTCCCTGGAGGTTTCACCACCAGCTTGGGTTTGCTGGGAGGGCTGTGGGTCGGGGCTTGTGAGCATGAACCAGACACCTCCTCCACGCCATCTGAGAAGGACAAGGCGCAAAGGCAGTACCTTCAGTTAGATTCGTAACAAAAGCTGTCCCCAGCCCACTGTCTCCTGACTCCTGTGGCATTGCACTGCTCTCCCTCACTTCCCACAGAAGAATAGTAGAGCCAGCTGGTGGGATGGGAATCCACAGCTCTCTTAAGTCATGGACCCACAGCAGGACAGAAGAACAGAAAGAAAAAGACCTCTAGAGAGACCCAGAAGAGGCAAACACATTATAGAGGCGACTTCGGAGTCTGTGGTATTGGCAACCCTTGACAGGTGCTCCTCTTTAGGAAGCAATGCTCTCCCTCCATGATCCTGGGAGTCCCTGAACCACCACCCAAGCGTCTCTACAGAAAACAGTTGCTTTGCTTGAGCCACCCAGGTCAAGCTATGAGTGACTAAAAGGCCCCAAGATCCCCAGTACCTGTGTGGGTGGCCTCAGAGGCCACTGGGGCCCTGTTTGCCTCCAGTGCCAGGGGTGACTTGCCACTGGCTGGTTTAGATTCTTCAGGCAGCTGTGGCTCTTGAGACTTGTGTGTCTGAATCAGTTCTGGCTGTGTTACCCTAATTAGCTGAAAACAAAGTCCAAGGCTCAGAGGAGTGAAGACATATCCTAGCCTCTATTTGGACAGCTAAGGATCTTGGCTCTATACACTCAGAGAAATGTAACAGGCAAACCCCAACCTCCTTTTAGAAATTATCCTCCCTCCCTACCCCAAGCCTCACCTTTCTGACAAAGGGGGCAAAGGAAAGAAGTGGTTAAAGCTCAGATCTATAATAGTGTGATCTGGAAATCAGGGATAGATGCCCCAGTGGGGAGGAAAGAGAGGATGGCTGGGCAGGGGTCAGGCAGAAGGGGCACCTACCTGCTGCAGGGCCTCCAATACCGTTTGACGGTTCACTTTCAGCACGTGCAGCCTGGCTTCATACTTGATCCTGCGGTCAGGTACCACCGCCATCAGGTTGAAGCGGATGTCATGGTAGGGCTCCCTGCAGTCACAGCCCCAGCTGTGAGAGCAGCTCCTGACCCGGCCCCACCATCAGGGTGAGGCAGATATCTTGGCAGGGCTCCCTAAAGTCATACCTGCAGCCACACATACAGGTCCCTACCCTAGCAGGTAGGCAACAGCTGACCATGCACAGCAGACACCTGAGCTGGTGCCTTCCACTGAAGTGTATGGACTCCACCAAGGCTTGCCCTTCCCAGGCCTATCCTGAAGCAGGCCACAAGCAGCCTGGGTAGGGAAAGAGGGCAGGAAGTGGGAGCCCAAAATCTAAGCCTGATCTTGCCAGTTTCACATGTGACCTTCCACAAGTCATCTGGCCTCTCTGTGACATCTGTCCCTCTGTGTCCCTCCCAATCGGGGCACAGCTCCAGACGACAGGGCAGAAACGGGGCTCTTACCCTGCAGTGGCAAGGCCAATACGCTCCATGATGACCCGACGGGCCTTGTCTGTCCACTCCTCATCCTCCCCCCAGGGCCCTAAGGGACGAGCAAGACGAGAAGTCAGCAGACAGGAATTTAGGCAGGCCAGAGTGGGTAGGAGGATGGAGAGCGGGTGAGTCAAGGAGTTGAGTTAGGCAATGCAGTGCAAGGGGCTATCTGGCCTGAGCCAGATGTCCTTAACACCCACCCGCCCTTCCACTGGGTCGCAAGCACCTCAGGACCCTGAGCCCCAGTCCCCTAGGAGATAAGCTTCGATTCCTAACAGAACATTGACTCAGAATGCATACCATGGTCAATGGGGTAGACCTTCAGTCCATCCAGTTCAAAGAGCCGGCCAGTAATAGGCACATAGCTGACAAAATGGAACGCCTCCATGGTCCGCACTGCACTGAGGCCGTTCTGCTTCTCGGGGAGGTGGCGTGGCTCAGGTCTAGTGAAGGACACAGTCAGTGCCCAGAATGAGACACTCCCTCACCTCTACCCCTAGTAGCTCCCACAGCCCCCACATACCTAGCATGACTATTATGTGCCTTTGCCAACTCTGGTGCGTTGCCAATCGCATATCCTTTGCTCTGGAGAAAAGAAAATAAGGCTATATCAGAACAACTTCTCAGGTAGGCTCAGGGTAGAATGCAAAGTTCAGGAGGGCAGACTTGGGGGCATACCAGGAACCTGAAGAAGCACAGATGAATTATCTTGAAAGGTTACTGAGGGTAGAAGAGAACCTACAGTCCTCAAAGATAATGTAAATGATCTTTTAAAAAGGTAAAAATGCCAAACATCATGTAGTAGCATTACCAATGGCCCTGAGGGTCAGGTCTGCCCAACCTGCTGAGCCAGGACTAAGGCACTGCTTACCTCAGGGCTGAAACCTTTGGTGAAGTCCTTCATGCGGCTCAGAGTGGGTCCCAGGTCCACATTGCTACAGTTCAGGAGCACGCTTAGCAGGGCGTGAGTGGCACAAGAGTTCGGTATCAACTGTGAAACCAAGAACAGTCACCCATATGCTGCATCCCTCACTGCAAGCCCATACTTATCAAGGATGGGGACCTAAAGAGAACAGTCATATCTAGACCAACCCTGGTCAATTCCCCTCATCTCTGGCCAGCATTTTTTCACTCAGCTAAATAAGTCATGGACCCACACAGGTGGGCCTAGGGACATGGTCAGTCGACTCAAACACCATCCTGGTCTAAAGATATCCCCCTTTATTAATGAATAAGAGCTCAGTTCCTTTTACCAAGGGACTTCTATAACCACCATCCTTGGTATCTGTTTATTTCCTCCTGCCTTCCCCTACTTCCACTTCCCAAAGCAAAGACAACAGCAACCCCACCATCCAGACAGAACAGAGTCCACAGACCTGGTGGGCAAAGAACATGTTATTCACAATATCGTCATCAATCACAGATGTATCATCCACCAAGGTAGAGACCTTGCGACGGGAGCGGCGCTCTTCGATCCATTTGAATAGGAAGATGAATCCATACACAGGTCTGGGGAAAGTAAATGGCATAGCTAGACCAATCAAGTGGGGAAAGGCAGTTATGTCCTCTTTCTTTTATTCCTTGAGCCCTTCTCATGATCCCAGCTTGTGCCCTGGCTTCTTTCAAACACTGCTCAAAGTGGCCCTGAGCCCTCACACCCCAGAAGCCCGCCACAGGCAGAGTCAAACATCAGCTTCTGGCTGTGGTGCTCCAAGAGTCCACTCAGTGTTTTCACGATATCTATAGTTCTGGGATAAGAGAAGAAAAACTGAAACCACTAGCCCCAGGATAGGGTAGGATTAGAAGGTAATGTGAGAATAAAAATGAATAAAACACTAGTTCCCACTTGTGGACCCCAATACCTGGGCCCCAGGGCAGTCAGGAAGCAAAGGAACACTTTTATCAATCCCTTTTTCCTGGGAAACAAAAGCAGACTTCTAGGTATAATCATTGTAGCAGGCAGGAGAAGGGGCCTGGTTTCAGTTTCAAGACCAGAAATGGCAGCTGAACTGTACTCCAAAGGATAGTTAGGATTAGTATTGGGGCAGTTACCACATAAAGGGAAGTGCTGAAAGACTGGGGAAAAACAAAAAATATCAGCTTCATTGGGTGTGCACCCAAGGAGAAAGGATGCTTTCTGAGGTGTTACAACGTGGCGTGCCCGACACCACCTCCCTTGACGGCCACTCTTCCCTGGGTCCTTTCCAACCTTCGGAGTGTAAGGGGCAGTCCTGAATGAAGACAAGCCACTCACCCTTGGCATTTGCTCTGAAGGTCATAGATCTCCTCCACCTGCACCCCTTTGACACCTGCGATCAGGGAAGGAAAGAAGTCGGGAAGGGCAGCACCTGGACGTGGACCTACGGTGCAGGAGTGGGCCCCCATAATCGGGGTCCTACGGGTAGGAGAGTTTCTTACCGAAATCTTCCACCAGGAGGGTAAAGAGGCCTGTGTGGGGTGACAAAGGAAGTGGGTGGTGGTCAGGCAAGAGGGTTCCGGGACCACCCGGCCTCCCCAAGCCCCCGCCCCGCCCGGCTACCTCCTCACCAGGATCGCTCTCCAGCTCCAGCCAGCCCTTATTCATCTTCCCGCGGGGCGGCCCCTCAGCGCCATGTCCAGGCCCTCCCGACCCACCGCCGCCCCCCGCCGGGAGCCCCTGCCACCCCCGGGACCCCTCGGCCCCTCAGCCCAGCACACAGACAACGGGCCCCGTCACGTCACCCTCCCGCGCCGACAGTACACGTCACTCTAGAGCGACAGTCTCCGCCCAGCCGCTGGGCTCGTCTTCCGCAGGTTCGATCCCAGAAGCCGACGCGCCGCGCAAGGGGCGGAGCTAGGTGGAGGGGCGGGGCTAGAGGGGTGTTGGCCCGGCGGCGCAAGCGGAAGGGGCGGGGCTAGAGGGGCGAGTCTAGGGAGGGTGCGGGGTGGGCGCGCGACCGTTAGCGCGTGGCCGTTAGCGGGCCCCCCCTCTGCCAACGGCCAGCGTCAGCCGTGGTTCCCGGGGCCGCCGCCTCCCTGGGTCGCCATCCGCGTGACCCGGCCCCCGTTTGCGCGCTCATCCCCTTCGCCGGCGCAAGTCACCGCGCGGGGCGGCCGCCCGTGAGGTAGCTACCACGGCTAGTGACAACGAATAAAGCCCCGGGACAGCGGCGCCTTCGGCGACAGCTGGGCGGGCGGCCCCGGCTGGGAGCTGCGGCCGTTGCGCTACCGTGAGGAGAGAGCGGCGAAGCGACCTCCGGCCCCGCTCGGCACCAGCCGCCCGGCGGGCCCGACATGAGCCTGGTCTGGCATCTGCGGGATGCTCCTTGAGCCCCTCCGCCGGCTGTTACCTCCAGGGGACCGTAGTGGCCACACCGACACGTATTTTCCAAATAAATCATTCTTTATTCTTGCGGCGGCGGGCCGAACAACCTTATTTATTTTTAATTTCTTCGACAAGCATTTACCCAGCACTTATCCAGTGAAGCAAGCTGGTGACCGTTCAAGGGAGCACCCGCTCGGCTAGGAAACCTCGGACAGAGCCGCTCGCTGCACGTTCCTCCTCAAATGCTTTGAAGGCTGTGGCACTCCCAGGGAGCACAGAACCCCACTCCTGGAACGACTTGGTCCAGCGATGCAAAGAACTGAAGCAACGAGGGTTTGCTAGATGCGGGGGGTTTCCCCAACTGCGAACCGCTCAGTGGTCAGCTTAAGGGGATCCCCCAGTGCACGCCCTTCTCTTCCAGCCTGTCCAAGTGCTTTTATTGAGTAAGAAGCCATCACATGTTTTTCCTGTAAGTGTAGCTTATGGGTTAGAAGAGGAGATGGCGCACACACAAAGGAAGGGCAGTTCAGGCAGAATTTTCCCAGCAGGTTGTTATCAGAATAGTGTGTTCATGCCTGTTAGTGGGCAGTCCCCGAAGATGCCCGCTCCAGCTGTGCCCGCCCCCCCCCGCCCCCCGGGGAGTGTGTATCCTGATTCATTCAGCCCCCGCCTAAAAAAAGCTGTCCTCTTCCCTGATTAGACATAGGCCTTCCTGCGTAGGAATAGATTTCATTTCTTTTGTCCCCTGAGATTTCCCCCAGCCAGTGAAAACTGTAAATTTGTAGTCTGCTGACACAGATGGGGGAGGAGTGGCAGGGTGTCTTCTTCCCTTTTGGGCATTTTACACTTGGCTCAGAGCTAGACAAAGGTGGGAGCAGGCGGGACCTCAGTGGCCATCTGAGCCTAGTGAATTTGGCAGTGACAGGAGCATACGGGATGATTTGTCAATTTTATCTCATGAAAGCAAATCCATACTTTGGGCAGCCAAAATTCCACAGACTCCTTTTTTTAATATATAGGAGTCATTTAAAAAAATTTTTTGTTCGTGCAAAAGTGTCACCTTATCTAGCTTTTACTGGATAAGACTATGGAACTGATACTTGGGGTCAAAAGGAGCCTTTTCCCTGAGTGCCACTTTTAGTGGGCACAAGGAAAACAACTGTTTAACCAATTCAAGCATTGGCTCCAAGTTCTTGTACTTCTTGTGTTAGCAGTAGCTCTGACCTTGGGCAAATGCATCTGTGATCTGTCAGTGCCTCAGTCTCCTCATCTTGAAAATGGAGATAATAATGGTACCTACCACATAGGGTGTTTAAGTGTCAACATATGTGAAATACCTGGAACAGTTCATAATGCAATTTCATAATTGTGAGCTATTACTAGCTTAGATACTGGGTGGGTCCCCTTTTATTGGCTTGGGAGGTGAGATACACTATTGATTTCATCCTGTGGAACTTGATAAACAAATGGAGAATTAAATTGCTGAATTTAAATTAAATTTAAAAATTAAATTAATTTAAAAAATTAAATTAAAAAATCCTGTTTATATTTGTAGCTGGAAGAGCCTGCATTATCCTCACGTTAATATAGAAGAATTCAAGATAAGAGAGGCAGAAGCGAATGAAGACTATAAAAGAAAAAAAGAAGAAACGTCAAAGATTGAGGTAGAGTAGGTGACATGAGGGAGTTTGGGAGAAATCGTCAATCTATGGCTATACAAATACTGTACTTTTTGCCCCCTTTGCATCGTCTTGGAGCCTCAGATTGGGTAGTTGGGAAGCACACACCAGTGGTTCCCTGGATGCCTGGTAACCTGTCCCTGGGGACAATTAGAAACTGTTAACTCTGGTGCCCTACTGCCTAGGTTTATATCCTGGCTCTTAACATTTGCTACCTGTATGTCTTGGGATGGGTTGCTTCATGTTTTTGATGCCTTAGTTTCATCATCTGGAAAACATGTACAATAGCAGCATCCAATTTTTAGAGCAGTCTATAGATCCATTGAGCTAGTACATATAACATGTAGGTGGCCTAGTCGTAGGAAATTCTTAACTTTAGTGTCATTTTATTATGTTTTATGAATGGGATACCACCCGAGTTCAGAGTAGGTGGTAGAAGAAATAGTAAAAGATGAGTTTGATCTTGCATTCATGCAGTCAACCCTGGCAATACAGGCACTGGAAACAGATGGTTATGGTCTCATAATTCAGATAATTCAGTGGGTGTGTTTTATTTAAAAAAAGAAAAAAGAGGGCTTCCCCTGGTGGTGCAGCGGTTGAGCATTGGGCTGTGAAGCTGCCCGCAGCCTCTGCAGCGCCGGTTCGATCCCTGGCCACCAGTGAGGGTCCCACATGGTGCGACAGATCTCTCCTGCAGCGCCCGCTGCTTCCCTCAGCAGTGTATTTCGTCAGTCTGCCTGTTCTGTTCCCCGCTCTGGTTCTGGTGAATCCTCTCACCCTCCCGCGCTTCTGACTATACCCAGTGCTTGTATAAATAAATAAAGAAATCTTAAAAAAAAAAAAAGAAAAGAAAAAAAGGGGCCTTCCTGGTGGCACAGGCGGTTGAATGCCACACTGTGAAGCTGTCCGCAGCCTCTGCAGCGTGGGTTTGATCCCGGCTGGCCAGCAAGAATCCCACATGGCAAAGCAGACCTCTCCTGTCTCGCCCACTGCTCCCCTTAGCCATTAGACCTTTTGCCCCTTTGTGAAACCCTTAGATGGCATTTTGAGGGAAATGTTTGAAGAGGTGTGGACAGAATTCTAAAAGACCACATTGTATCTCTTCCTTTTGTATAGAAAACCTGCCAAGACTAGAAGGGTAATCCAGAGGAAGCCATCTTCAGGGCCTGGTAAGAAAGACTGGAGGTTCTGTTTGACCACTGCTTCCCTACCTCAGCAGAGGTCACCTTTGTAGGCCAGCAAATATGACAACCCTACTTCCTTCTCAGATTTTCTTAAGATGCCAAAGAACTCAGGACTCACCATTTTTAGATGTCACATCCAAAGCTCAAGAAACAAAGCCTCTTGAAACAAAAATACATGAAGTGAGCAGTTGCAGCCAACTCCTTCAAATGTGACCAGAATTATATAAAAGCCTAATTGATGTCAAATAACATTTTATAGCAACCACTCTCCTTGTCAAATGACTTTCTTCTCAAACTCTATTCCTTACACTTAGACAGGTTCCCAAAATGAATTCTAAACGTTCTCTCTACCAGTGTGCCGGCTATGTCTTCGAGAACCTGGAGATCCCGAAAAATTAGGGGAATTTCTTCAGAAAGACAATCTCAGCGTGCATTATTTCTGTCTTGTGAGTATAAGCCCCCTTTGCTTAGAATGTGCTATCATTTTTCTACATAATTTGTTCTGGTTTTGCATCCAACATCAGATCCATAGTCTTGCTTTTCTAGATAACTTTTTTCTTTTAAAATCTGACTTTTTCCAAATATTATATGTGTCTGGTATAAAATCCTGACTATTAAGTATGTATGATAAAAAGTGTATTGCCAAAACAGTATTCCCAATCCTTGTCCCTCTCCCCAGAAAACTTCCAGTTATTTTTTCCCAATTTCTTTTTTAATTAGGTATAATTTGCATACCTCAAAATGCACCTGTTTTAAGTTTATAGTTTGGTGAGTTTTAATATAGCCCATGTAAAACACCACCCTCGTCAAAATAGGTAGTATTTCCATGACCCCAGAAATTTCCCTCCTCTCTTCAAGTTAATCTCCGCATACATAAATAATTACTGTTCTGATAGTTTACTTTGCCAGTTCTTATACTTCATTTAAACAGAATCATAAGTTTGCACTCTTTTGTGCCTGGCCTCTCTCTCTCAAAGCAATGTTTTGAAGATTCATTCCTGTTTCATCTGTACCTTGTGCTTTAAAAAAAAAAAAAAAAAGCTTTATTTATTTATGCATACAAGAACTGGAGTGTAAGCCAGAGTTGTGGGGGTCGAGAAGATTCACCAGAGACAGAGTGGGAAGCAGAACAGGCAGATCCACTGAAATGCACTGTAGAGGGGAGCAGCAGGCAAGACAGGCGAGGTACCTGTGCCATGTGGGCTAGCTTCCTGGCAGGCCAGTATCGGAGTTGTGCTGCAGTGGCTGGAGATAGCCTGACAGCGCTGTGTCTTTAACCCCGTGCCACCAGGGAGGTCCCTAGCTTGTACCTTTTTATTCCTTAGTAGTATTTTGTTTTGTGATTACATTATAATTTGCTTATCTGTTCATCTGTTGATGGGCATTTAAATTGTCTCCATTTGGGGGTTGATCTGAATAAAGCTGCTGTGAACATTCCTTTATAAATTTTTTGATGACCTTGTGTTTTCGCTTCTCTTGGGCAAATGCTTGACAATTGTAAGCTAATTATATTCAACTTTATGTGAAGTTGCCAAATCACTTCCAAATGCTTGTACCAGTTTACACTCCCATAGCAATTTATGAGAGTCCCAACTGCAGATATTCTTACCAAGTTGATATTTTCAGTCCTTTTAATTTTAGCCATTCTCCTAGGTGTATATCTTGTGATTCTAATTTGCATTTTTCTTCTGACTAAAAATGTTGAACTTTTTATGTGCTTACTAGCCATTCATATTTTCTTTTTTGATTTGTCTGCACAAATATTTTGTCCATTTAAAAATTTGTTTTTGATTTACTAAGTTTAAGAGTTCTTTATATATCCTGGGTACGAATCCATCTTCAGATATGTGTACTGCGACTATTTTCTCCCAGTATGTTGCTTAACCTTTTTTTTTTTTTATAGAGGCATGTTTTATTTATTTATTTGTTTGTTTGTTTGTTTTGTTTATACATGCACTGGGTACAGTCAGAAGCGCGGGAGGGTGAGAGAATTCACCAGAGCCAGAGCGGGGAGCAGAGCAGGCAGAAGGACCGAAGTACACTGCTGAGGGGAGCAGCGGGCGGCAGGAGAGGTCTGCTCACCATGTGGGACCCGCCTCCGGTGGCCGGGGAGCAGCCGGGGATCGAACCGGCTGCAGAGGCTGCAGGCAGCTTCGCAACCCAGCTTTCAACCGCTGCGCCACCGGGGAGGCCCATGTTTTTTGTTTTTTAAAGATTTATTCATTTATTCATACAAGCACTGGGTGCAGTCAGAAGCGTGGGAGGGTGAGAGAATTCACCAGAGCCAGAGCTGGGAGCAGAACAGGCAGACTGTTGAAGTACACTGCTGAGGGGAGCAGTGGGCAACAGCATGCCATGTGGGACCCTCGCCCAGCAGCCGGGGATCGAACTGGTGCTGCAGAGGCTGCGGGCTGCCTCACAACCCAGCACTCAACCGCTGTGCCATCGGGGAGGCCCCATTTTTTTTCTTTTATGGTTGGTACTTTTTTATGTGTCCCAAGAAATCTTTGCTTACGCATTGAATTATCTCAGTGCCTTTGTCAAAAATCAATTGACCATATATCTGTGGATCTGGATGATCTATATTATGTGGATGATCTATATTATGTTACTGATCTATGTTTTATCTTTATACCAATGTAACTCTGTCTTGATTTTGGTGGTTTTATAGACTCTTGCAATTACGTGTTCTAAGCTCTACAATCTTTTCCAAGCTTGTTTTTGGACTTTTTTAAAATTAAAATTTATATTTAGCTTGTCAGTTTTTCTTAAAAAAAAAAGACTGTTGGGATTAGGATTGCATTAAATTCACAAATCAACTTGGGAAGAATTGACAAACATCATTGAATCTGCCAGACCATGGATGTGATGTATTTTCTCATTCATTTATTTTGGATCTTTTAAAATGTATCTCAGCTTTTTTTTTTTTTTTTTTTTTTTTAGTGAAGAAGCCATACATATCTTTTGTTACATTTCTTCCTAAATATTTTGCAATTTTTATGCTATCATAAGTGGTATTTTTAAATTTTCCAGATGTTACTGGTACATAGAAGTGCATTTTATTTTTGTACATTGATTTTGTATCCTGAAGTCTTGTTAAATTCATGCTAGTTTAGTTGTTTAATTTTTTTTAATAAAAAATTATCTTGTTCCCCACCTCATATGAAAGCATCCAGTTTTTTACCATTAAAATATAAGGTCAGCTGTAGGTTTTTCGTAGATGCTTTTTGTCAAATTGAAGAAATTCCCTTTTATTTCTAGTTTGCTGAGGGAATCATGAATATGTGTTGAATTTTGTCAAATACTCTCTCTGCGTCTGTTGAGATGACTGTTATTCTTTATTTTGTTAAATGGTTTATTACATCAATTGAATTCTTAATGTTAAACTAGCTAGGAACAGCTAGTGTATAAATCCTGCCTGGTCTTGATGTATTAGCCTTTTTATATAATTTACTAATGTTTAGCTTTATTTTCACATCTATGCTCGTGAGAAAAACTGGTCTATGATTTTCGTCTCTTGTAATTCCTGTGAGGTCTTGGTTAGTTTTGATGCAATTACAAGCATACACATTTTCAACATAAAAATAAACATACTATGCACAATGTTTTGTATTTTGGGTTTTTTTTAACTTGTGTACTTATTGAGCTCTTTCCAAATTGAACACATTGATCTAGCTTTTCCATTTTAATGACTAATTGGTATTCTATTGTATGGATGTGCCAAAAAAGTATTAAAACAAACATTTATTAAAAGACACTTAGATTCTTCTAATTTTTCACTATTGAACTTTCCTCTTATAGTACTAATACATGTTCACTATAGAAAACATGGATAATGCGGGCCTCCCCTGGTGGCACAGCGGTTGAGTGCTGGGCTGCGAGGCTGCTCGCAGCCTCTGCAGTGCCGGTTCATTCCCCGGCCACCGGCGAGGGTGCCACAAAAAAAAAAAAAAAAAAAGGATAATGCTTAAAAGTTTAAGTAAAATAGAAATCACTAATATTACTAAAATTGAAATAGTGGTTGGTTTTAATGTACATATGTGTTAAGCCTAACTGGGAACATACAGCTATAATCCAGGTATCCTCAATCATCTAACCTTGTAGAGTCACCTTTTCTATAATGTTGAAATTAGCTGAACCTCCATTACACACTACATGTAATTACTGAAGGAAGTCTAGCACCCTCTCCAATATTTTTTAAAAGATTTATTTTATTTATTTATGCAAAAATATTTATGTATATTTATTTATGCTGGGGTGTAAGCCAGAGGTGGGGGAGGTGAGAGGATTCACCAGAGACCGAGTGGGGAACAGAACAGGCAGATCTACTGAGGGGAGTAGCAAGCAAGACTGGAGAGGTCAGCTGTACCATGAGGGTCAGTCAGCTCCCCTGCTGGGGAAAGCGGCATAGTGCTGAGACTTAACCCCTTGTGCCACCAGGGAGGCCCCTTCTCCAATATTTTTAGAAGATTTTTGGGGTGGGGCTGCAGTGCTGACGTTCTTCTAATGTATGTGCACACATGTTTGTAACAGTTTAGTTTCTTTGTCTTTTATTTCTCATGTTAGACTCTGCTTTGGGGGCTTTACAGAAATAAAGGCTCTTGAAAGTATGTTTTTAAATAAAAGTTCAATTCCTCCCCTCCCCCCTCAGAATTTAAAACCCTGCTTTCCTTCCTACAGTGTTCTGAGAAGAGTATTTTAACCTGAAGGGCATTATAGTGGGAGGGATAAGGCATCAGTTCTGTGGGCCTGAATGGGAACAGAACTGCTTTGCTGCCTCCTTGCGTTGTGACACTGTAGGGTAAGGTAAAAAGTATCAGGCTTTTCTGCCCTCCCGCCATTAGGATAGATGACGGAACCCTGTGGTCCTGAATGCATGCCTGATGGCAGGCACCTGGAGTAGGGTGTGGGCATATGTAGGTGAGATTCACCTGGGCTAAGACTGCGCTTTTAAGGGCGGCGTCACGGACACGCGAGGAGAAGCCAAGAAAGAAGCCGAGGAGAAGCCAAGTGAGAAGCAAAGCGAGAAAAGGAGAGATGAACGTGAGAGAAGACCGGAGAGCCCAGAGTGGACTTGCTGGGAGGCTGGCAGGCCTCCCAGCACCCCAGCACCCCTGTCTGCCATGTACCTGATAAATCCCAATAAAAGCCTGCAAAACCCACTGAGGGCTCCAGGACTCTCTCCTCCTTTACCCAGTCTGCATGGGATCATAGAAAACCTGTGCACTGGCCCATTCCTGCCCCTACAGACACTAACTGTGTCCTTCACCATGCTATGTCTCAGTGACCTCTATAAGATGGATCTCAGTGGCATATGTATTATAGGATTCTGGTAAATCTGAAATTAGTCATTACACAGTGTTTTCTCAAGGTGCTTGCACACGCTAGCAGTCCTCACTAAATGAGAGACAGTTTAGTGCAGAGGTGAGGAGAGTCCAGGTTTTGGAATTCTGTGTTCTTGAGCAAGTCACAAAATCTGTCCTATAACGGGGTGATGCAAGTACTTCCTAAAGTTGTTACAAAGATTAAATGAGTTAATATTTGAAAAAAACTTGAGTACCCAACATGTATTTAATGCTATGTAAGTCATTGTTAAGTACATTGCCCTGTATGCATGGATATTCCATTTAACTTTCTTTGCTTTCTTGTCAGTCCTCCTCACCCCACTACACGGTCTCACTGATCATCACTGTTGACATCCTGGTTTTGCTGGCTCCCTCCCCAGATCCTATCCAGCAAGCTGCCTCAAAGAGGACAGTCCAACAGAGGTTTCCATGGGTTTCTGCCTGAAGACATCAAAAAGGAGGCGGTCCGGGCTTCTAGAAAGGTTAGAACCCCTGAAATGGGAGCCTCGGGATAGATATCTTCTCAGGCCTTTCCCCTGCTTTGTTGTTTTCCTAGCTAACTGCTAGTTTAAAAGTCAAAGGATTCTTAGATTTCCCAACTGCTTCTCTAAGTTCTATCTTTCTCTGGGGTGTAGTATCCTAAGTGAGGAAAAGGAGCAACATTCGAAGAAAAAAAGAATCCAGTGCTCCTTGAGGCTAAGCTTCAGGGTGCCCAGGATTTTCAGGTCAACTGAGGAGATGAAATTGCTCTTGCTTCACAGAGTTTCCATTCCATAAAATGAAGTGCCATGGAATGTTTGTCTTTCCTGGGACCCTAAGCCCTATCTGGGATCTCATTTGCAGATCTGCTTTGTGTGCAAGAAGAAGGGAGCTGCCATCAACTGCCAGAAGGATCAGTGCCTCAGAAACTTCCATCTGCCTTGTGGCCAAGAAAGGGGTTGCCTTTCACAATTTTTTGGAGAGTACAAGTGAGTGATGAAGGGAAAAAATTGGGCCGTCCTTTTGCAATTTAGTATTTAGCCACTAATGAAATCAGAGTCCGGTTCTCTAGGGCCTCTTTTTATTCACCAGTGATTCTGTTTCTCCATTCAATAATGAAAAACAGTATCTTAACTTGAAGATTTCACAGGGGTTACTCTTGCTTCCCATCTTCTTAAATTACAAACAGCTGAGGTTCTTAAGACAGCTGCTCAGAACTAAGTGGGCTTTCAGGAACTGAGACAGTCCTAGGAGCTTTGCCCAGTGGGAGAGCAGCTGTTAGGAGGCACCTGACTATTCTTCACCCTGCTCCTGCTCCTTCCCATGAGCGTGGAGGCTCACTGGACACCAGCCTGGATGGTTAGTTCTCTGCTTTTCCTAGGCCAGGCAGCTGGAAAATTGTATCATGGACAAAGCAGAAACCTAGTCTGTTTACTCTGCCACAGATCATTTTGTGGAAAACATCGACCAACACAGGATATCCAGCGGGGGAGTGTAGGGGAAGAAAGCTGTGTCTTGTGTTGTGAAGCCTTATCCAAAGCAAGTGTTGAAAACATCCGGAGCCCGTGTTGTAGTCAAACTATCTACCACCGCAAGTGCATACAGGTAGGACTTGTTCTGCCCTGAGCACTGTGAACATAAAGTACAATGTTCTGGAGACCCTTCCCCCAGATCTGTTCAGAAAAATAGCCATCTTCATAGGTTCCATCAGTCCTGTATGCAAAAATCTACTGCCTGAAGACATAAGTCAGTCTTTCCAATGGGCACCCAGCCTTTGCATCTCTGCAGGGTATTCTAGAGGGGAGGAGATTGGATCCTGTCTTGCCTTTAGCATCAGCATATTTGGATTGGGACAATTTAGAGCCAGAAACCACTCCTACTGAGAAGAGTTACTTTCTTGGTGTTAATGACTCACTGTTTTTGGCTATATAAACTAAATTCAAACTTACACTTATTAAGAATAGTTCTCAGAGTAATAATCTGCTGGATTGTCTCTTGGGTTCGAATACTTACTTTGATTATCTAATAAACTCTTTGCCTAAGTATTTTTGAGTCTTTATTTTTCAGTTAGCAAGACCTTCCACAGTTGCCCTGATTCAGAATACCCTGGGAAGATACAATCTCTACTCCGAGCTACTTGCTAGAGGCCTGTATGCAGGGCTCATTCCAGGCAGTCGGAGAAAAGTCAGCCCAGTCTCTGGTCTTCCTTGACCTGTATGACCTCATTCCTGTTAAGATTTAAACTGAGTAAAATCCTCAGATGGGTAGAGCAAATGAGTTTGTGCTAGAGTGAGTCAACTAGCCTCAAAATCAGTTCTGCTTCCTGGGAAGGCAGGAGGCAAACCTATATCCAGGTACCCGATCCCAACTGGGTCAGCACTGCCCAGCCCTGCAGTGGGATATTACAGCTGAGGCACTCCAGGGAATTATTTTGAGCTTTTGGTCCCAGGTGAACTGGATTTGCAACCCTTACCCTAACCCTCCCAAACACCTTTTCCTGTAACCCCCAATCAAGCTCTCTCAGTAACAACTTTTTTTGTGAGATAAGGGTGGTGGGGGTGAAAAATCGATCAAAGAGGATTTTTACAAACACAAATTCTCTTACAGAAATATGCTCACACGTCAGCAAAGCATTTCTTCAAATGCCCACAGTGTAACAATCGAGAAGAGTTTCCTCAAGAAATGCTAAGAATGGGAATTCATATTCCAGACAGGTAGTGGAAACTCTAAAGCAGGAATTGAGCCAGGGAATGGGGTTCCTAGATTTCTAGAGGAGGTGAGTGTAAGGATAGTTCAGAGAATGAAGTAGCAGCCAAGGCATTGATATGCAGGGAAGAGAGAGATATACAGGGTGGAGAGAGATTTTCAATGAGCAAAAGAAAAGGAGGGGGGATAAGCGGAGGTGGTGGGTAGGCATATTTCTGAAGAGTGCTTTGGCAACCAGAATTCCCCAGGGAGGCTGGGTTCTTGGAATTCACTTGTGGAACTAATGAACCCCCATGTTCACTCATCCTGTTTTAACTAGTTCAACCACTTCAGCTATTCCAGTTACTTTGAACAGCCACTTGCCAAGCCTGTTCAAAGTATTCAAACAGCCAGTTTAACTTTTTTTGCTGTGCTGCCTTGAGTTCTCCTAGTTCTGTCCAAGCGGACAAAGGTTTCACCAAGTGATTATGTGTTCCTTACTCACTGTTTCTTCTCCCACTACAGAGATGCTGCCTGGGAACTGGAGCCAGGGGCTTTCTCAGAGTTGTATCAGCGTTACCAGCATTGTGATGCCCCCATCTGTCTGTATGAACAAGGCAGAGACAGCTTTGAAGATGAAGGGTAGGGAAAGGCTCCTCATTAGAAAGATCTCATCGGTGCCATCTTAGAGTTAGCCCTCGACCACAGTTATTAGGAGCAAGAAATTCACTTTTGTCTATAGACCTCTGGATGAACACTAAGAATACTAAGTCCCATTCTTAATCAGCTGGGACTCAGTCATGCAAGTCAGGTCTCCGAGTTCTTCTCTTTGTGCCCTGTGGAGAGACACAGGCCAGTTCCTTTCTAAATCCATCTTACGGCTGGTTGACCTGACTGTGGGGTCCTGGGATCAGCACTCGGTCACATATCTGATGTGGGTAAAATGAATGGGAAGTAAAAAAAAGTCCTAGGAAGCCCTGAGGAAAGGCCTGGTCTATAGTAAACATCCTGAGAGTGGCAATGTTAGGTATTTGTCCCCACAACCCTTCCTTGGCTCTTCCTGTAGGAGGTGGTGCCTCATTCTGTGTGCTACATGCGGATCTCACGGAACCCATAGAAACTGCTCCTTTCTTAGACCCAGTAGTAATACATGGGAGTGTGAAGAGTGTGCACCTTCTGCTGAAGCCACAGGTGGGACTGGAGGGATGGTCTCGTCTAAGATCTGGGATGGGGACTTGTGATTGCCTGGGAAAGGAGGAGGGCATGGCACCAGATGGCAGCTTTAGTTAGTGTCTTTAGTTTTGGAAGGAAAGTGGCTAGAGAGGGGAGAAAGAATCTGCACTGGGAGAGACTGAGGGTGAGTTTCCTCCCCTTCTTTTCTTTCATCACAGACTACACACCTGAAAACTCAGGGGACAGCCCCTGCTGCAGCAGTACCTTCCACTTCGAGGAGCATTTCTGCAGAGACACTGGCCTGGAAGAGAATCCGGGCCCTTCTTGGACTGATTGGCCAGAATCTTCCTTATTAGAAAAGCCAGAGTCCTCTGGTGGCAGGAGAGGCCACTCCTGGTTGTCCAAGGGTGTCAAAATTACTAAGAACTGCAAAAAATCCAAGTAACAGCTTTCAAGTAGTTGCTGCCAAATACATCGGGTAGAAGCTGTGCTCCTCCATCGGGTTAGGGGGAGAGAACACTTTGGGACTGTGAGACAAAGACAGGGCCCCAGCATGGAGACTATGAACCAAGGAAAGAGAAGTCCCGGGGGATTGTGAGGACAGAGCAGAGTTCAGATGGCAATGGAATGTGGTTACGGCTAGGAGAGTCCCTCTGTTCTCTCTGACCCAAGAGGGGCCTTTTTCTCCTCTTCTTCCTCTGAGATTATTTCACCTTAATCTGGTTCTCAAATGCTTCCTCTCACTTCATCCACATTTGTGAATACGCAAATAAAGGTTTTTCTCTCCACCGGTGTCTCCTTATAAATTCACTCTGGAATTTATCTAGCATACTAAGGAATCTGGATGGTAGAGTAAGAGAATAGGAAATCTCTTCAAACCTATAAACTCAGTGAACTAAATATGCAGTTTTAAACTTAGAGCATAGATGTGTTTCTTTTGCAGGTAAATCAATTTTATGGGGACAAAAATGTCCATCGTATAAACATGAGAGTCCTCATCGGAGAGGTGAGTAAGCAACAGAATCCACACTAGACTGAGAATAGGTCTCTTGCAAGGCTTGGGGTCCTGGATTCAAACAGGCAAGAGGGACTTCACTCAGTCCAGGCGGCACAGTCTTCAGCACCTCTCCACTCAAACCCTCACTACCAGTGGCTTGGACATTTCCATCTTAGGCGAGGGAGCCATGCTAGGTCATTTTAGGCAAGGCAGCTAGGATGGGAATCTGGCAGAAGGTCTTGGGAGAAATTGAATAGACCCTCACATTTTGTCTGTTTTTAATGATTTTGTGGGATCTGGTTAGTGGGAACCTCAAGACCATTGCCAGATACTTAGTTCTCAGGGTCTCACTGAGTCATTGTCACTAATGCTGGCAGATGGTGTTTCTGCAATCCCAGGCCAGGTAGGTTCACTGTCAGTTCTCACAGATGAAAAGATAACTTTGGAGACTGGTAGATTTTTTTTTAAGATTTATTTATTTATGCATAAAAGAACGGGGGCGGTGAGAGGATTCACCAGAGATGGAGTGGGGAGCAAAACAGGTGGACTGACTGAAGTACATTGCTGAGGGAGGCAGCGGGCGAGTCAGGAGGGGTCTGCTGCACCATGCGGGTTGCTCCCTGGCCGGGAATTGAACTCCAGTGGTTGTGGTTAAGCTTTATAAGCTGCATCGTAACCCCTTGCACCACCAGGCAGGCCCCTCTGTTGGTAGATTTTTACAGGCCTTTAATGCTGAATCCGGACAGACCAGGTTTCTCTCTCTGTATTTCTCTGGCTGTTCCTCCCTCTGTCCTTGTAGTCCCATCTCAGAGTGATGCTGCCCTTGTATCCCTGCACCCCTCCACACAGGTGTCCCCATTTACATACATACGCATGTCCTGTGCTCTCTGGGCCCAGGTGTCCATTATTACAAGTGTGCGTGCAAGGCCACAGGTGACAGTCATAAAGGCTAATGGTGGGAGGCATTAAAAAGCCTCATAACTCATTTACCCTATGGATAGGATTCTCATTTCGAATGTTGCTGACCCCTGGAGACTTAACATCAAGGTATATACAATGGGCATTTGGGAATCATGTGGGAAGGCGGATACATATCTTCATTACATGGGCAAAGTAATATAGACTAAAAGGTCTTAAGAAGTAGTGAAAGGATTATAAAGAAAAAATCTTGACTCATGATTTCCTACCTACAGGCCTGCTCCCTAAAGACAAAACTTTCTACTTAGCCATTTCTTGATTTCTTATTCTTAGGCATTATTAATTTTCTATTATGTTATGTAGAGATTTAGCACCTTTAAAACCTTCCCATTTTTATTCTCCATCTTTTATAACTGCGCCAGAATTTTTGTTTAAATTAACCTTCAATGTTTATCATGACTTAGGTAAATACCATTTACTACTGAGCCAGATAGTACACTATGATTATTTTTCCAGAATACCTGTCTTTTTTAATTTGTTCAATTTGTTCAATTTGCTATATACCTATAACTAATTCTTCCCCAGCTACTTCAAACATTCAATACCTCAAAATATAACTTTCTTCATAGGCCATGCATCAGATTGCTCTGTTATGCTTATTTTCTGGAAAACCTGCCTCCTGGAGCCTACTCCTGAGTGGGGGTGAGGTGTGGAGCCTGTGGCAGGGGTGAGAGGTTGGGGGTAATTTTTGTGATCCAGACATTCAGCTGCCCAACCTCTGTGTGCAGTTAGCCTATGGGTACCTAGCATACACACACCTCTCTTAATTATTACTTAATCTTTATACATTTACTTCCAATTGATATTAATAACTAACTCCATTCTCAAAGGCTGAAAATCCCATTGTGAAGTGTTCTGTTCTTTGTCTGGACCTAATAGGTCATTCTCCACTATATAACTAGATTTTTTCTTAAATAAACTTTATTTAGGACTTTTTTTTTTTTTTTTTTTTTTTTAGTGGGAAGGAACTTTAATACGATTAGGAAACAATACAGGAAAGGCAAAGAATATAGTTTCTAAATCAAGCACCCAAAGTTACTTGTCCCCTCATGGGTAAAAGTCCACCCAAGCAGGATTGGCCTAGAGCAAGGCCCCAAAGCCTGCCACAAGTCTAAAGCATCTTCCAGTGGGGACCCACAGAAAAGGATCAGAAACAACCAGACAAGTCTGAAAGGAAAAGAGCAAAATCAAAATCAAGACAAAAACTGCCGTTGTCACCTCCCCACGGGTCTCTCACCCATATCTGTGTCACCCAGTCCACGACCAAAAGGCAAGGGCAGTTTCTTCACGTGTCTCTCTGCTCCATGTGCCTCCTCCAGGTCTCCTTCTGGCTCTCCATCCTGCTTCCTTCCTTCCTCAGTCTCCTCTGCAGCTTCTTCTCTCCCTGCTCAGCTCCACCCTCCCTTGGGTGGGGCAGGGAACCTGGAATCTCCCCCTTTCCTCGGGACCACCCTGTTACAGTATCTCTTGAAACTTGAAGTAGTACATTTTTATTTTTACAGAAATATTATGAGAATAGTACACAGAGAGTTCCCCATATTTTCCAAGCCCAGTTGGGCCCTATCATTGACATCTTAGGCAAGTATGGTAGTTTATTATAATTATCAACGCATCATTTATCATAAATATTAATAGATTATTATGAACTAAGGCCTATACTTTATTCAGAATTTTCTTCAGTTTTTATCTAACATATTTTTTCTGTTTTAGGATCACGTCCAGGATACCAGGTTGCATTGAGTCATCACATCTCCTTAGGTTCCTCTTGGCTGTAATGGTTGGTCAGATTTTCCTTGGTTTTGATGACCTTGACAAGTTTGTTTTTTTTTTAAAGATTTATTTATTTATTTATACAAGCACTGGGTACAGTCAGAAGCGCGGGAGGGTGAGAGAATTCACCAGAGCCAGAGCAGGGGGAACAGAACAGACAGACAGATGAAATACACTGCTGAGGGGAGCAGCAGGTGGGGCAGGAGAGGTCTGCACTACATGTGGGACCCTTGCTGGGAGCAGGGGATCTAACCAGAGCTGCAGAGGCTGCAGGCAGCTTCGCAGCCCCAGCGCTCAACTGCTGCGCCACCAGGGGAGGCCCCTTGACAAGTTTTTTTAAAAGGTTTATTTTATGTATGCATACAAGAACTGGGTACAGGCTAGAGGTGTCAGGGGTGAGAGGATTCACCAGATAAAGAGTGGGGAACAGAACAGGTGGATTGACTGAAATACACTGCTGAGGGGAGTAGTGGGCAAGTCAGGAGAGGTCTGCTGTGCCATGTGGGTCAACCTCCCTGGCTGGGGATAGCTTCATAGTGCTGCGTTTTAACCTCTTGCGCCACCAGGGGGGCCCCCACCTTGACAAGTTTTGAGGGCTGGTCAGGTATTTATAGAATACCTCTCATTTTGGATTTGTCCGGTGTTTTTCTCATGATTAGACAAAGGTTATAGGTTTGGGGGAGGAAAACCACAGAGGTAAAATTATATGCTATCAACATGACTTATCCCTGCTGTTGACTTTGCCCTACGGCCAAGGTAGTGTTTGTCAGGTTTCTCCACTGGAAAGTGACTCTTCCCCACCCGCTTTCCATACTTTATCTTTTGGAAGGAGGTCACTCTGTGCAACACACAGTTAATGACTAGGGATTTATGCTCCTCCCTCCTTAATGCAGAGCAGAGCATCTATGTAAATTGTTTGGAATTCTGCATGGGAGAGCTACCTGTTCTCTCCCATCTGTTTATTCGGTATGTATCAGTACATATGGATATCTATATTACACGTTGGGTGATAATCAAATGCTAGTTTACTTTTTTGCTCAAATTATTCTAACTTTGGCCATTGGGGGCTTCTGTTTCCTTTTCATATCCCCCCATTATTGTGTATTTTGTTTTGTTTGTGAAAACTTTACTTTCTGACACAAGGTGCCCCAGACTCATCTTGCATGTTTTATTTTATTTATTTTTATACATACTGTTTTTGTTTTAAGATTTTTTTAATGGGTTTTTTTTTAAAGATTTATTCTTTTGTGTGTAGAAGAACTGGGGTGTAGGCCGGAGGTGTGGGGGGTGAGAGGATTCACCAGAGACAGGGTGGGGAGCATAACAGGCAAATTTACTGAAATGCACTACTGAGGGGAGCAGTGAGTGAGACAGGAGAGGTCTGCTGTGCCATGTGGGTCAGCTCCCTGGCCGGGATCAAACTCAGGCTGTAGTGGTGATAGCACTAAGACTTAACCCCTAGGCCACCAGGGAGATCCATCTTGTATATTTTATTTTATTTTATTTTTAAGATTTATTTTTATTTATTTATACAAGCACTGGGTACAGTCAGAAGCGCGGGAGGGTGAGAGAATTCACCAGAGCCAGAGCGGGGAGCAGAGCAGGCAGAAGGACCGAAGTACACTGCTGAGGGGAGCAGTGGGCGGCAGGAGAGGTCTGCGCACCATGTGGGACCCTCCTCCGGTGGCCGGGGAGCAGCTGGGGATCGAACTGGTGCTGCAGAGGCTGTGGGCAGCTTCGCAACCCAGCGCTCAACTGCTGTGCCACCGGGGAGGCCCCATCTTGTATATTTTAAATACCTGTTTCCCCAAACAATGTGTCTATTAAAATTAATTACTGTTTCGTAACTCAGAATCTAGAACAAATAGCTCATGGCATAGGGGGTTGGATGTAGAATTACTTGTAAGATAAAAATTCCCCACAGCACCTGCTTTCCTTCCTTTAATCCTTACCTCTGTAAGAACCATAAACTAGGGCCAGAAACCTCAAAATGCTCTGCTTCCTTTGCTGTTCACCCACTCTGTCCTGTCAACTTCCCTGTTATTCAGATGTTTGCTTGCCCTTCCTTCCTCTCCATCCATTGCTGATGCTCAGCTCAGACCCTATGTCTCACAGGCCTGCAGCAAAATCCTTCTCTGCATGGAAGCTTCCTGTGTCCACTTGCTTTGCTGACAAAGCAAATCTACCCTTTTCCCTTCTTCTAATTGCCATAAAACATCTGTAACTCTTTACTTAGGATGGCTCCCGCTGAGATTGGCATCCAAAGCCTTTTACAAATGTGGCCCCACACAGCTGCATCTCCCAGGACACCCCACCCATGGGCACTCTGCCCTGGCTACCCTGGAAGACTGGGCGCTGAGCATGGGGTTTACAGTCTAGAGGACCCTACTCCATTCTCTGCTTGCTGAACCTAGCATACAGGCCACTTCTTCATCCCTAAGCCCTTTCACTGGGCTCTGCTTATAACCCTCTCATAGCCCACATCATTCTTCATCTGGTGTTACAGTTGTGGAACTGTCTCTCCCACTAGGTTGGAGGCCCCTTAAGGGAAAGGACATGCCTTTCTTATTAACCTTTCTTTCTCTCATGGTGTGTGACTTGGGATACCACATTCAGAGATAGTTTGACGCCCATGGAACTGATGGATATGCTAGTACCCTGTATTCATAAACCTGTTGTGTTGCCATCAAACACTAGAGGGCAGTGTTACCATGTTGAGGAAGAATATAACTACCTTAGACCTGGAAGTTGAGAGTGGTTTATGAAAAGCTTGCTTCTGTTTTGGGATTGCACAGTACTTACTGCTCTTCATTTGTTCTAAGCATATATGTTTGATTTTATTCATAAGGTGTGCTCCTGATGAATTTAGAGCCAGTATAAGGGTTACTAGTAACACTTTCATCACAGGTCAAATCCTCAGACAAGACTGCCTGCATAATCTCTCCAGACCCAAAGCAGCACTCCTAATACCCGGCCTTCCTCCTACCCCAAAAATGGAGGCTTCCAGTGCCAAAGGGAATGGGTGCTGTGATTCTCTTGTTCTGCCCTCCCTTCCTAACATACACACACACACTGACGTTAGGGACTTGGTGTTGGTTTGAAAGTTCTAACTTCCTGTGAGCAGGGTGGGAGGTCATTACTATGAGTAACAGCACCTCCATTAGGCCAGATCCCAGAGATAATGTATCAACTCCCTGGGTTCCCAGGCTGACTGGAGGTGAGCTGCAGCATCATGAAGGCCCCAGATGTGAGAAAGCTCCCCTAGTAACTAAGCCAGGGAGCCCCATTCCAGAGTGATCACTTATTTTCAAGACTCTTGGGCTTTACACATTTTTTTCCAAAAATCAAGCCATAAAGGCCATAAACCAAGTAGGTGACAGTTTTTAGAAAACAAAAATAAAAGCTTGTTCTCACTTCTCCCTGGCAAACTCCCTCCTACCCTGGTATCCCTGAGGAATGTGACAGCTTGAGATCCAGATGGAAGACATAAAGCCCAGGAGCTCCACCCCCTTGTTTTTAGTGACCCTGTTCTGTTTGCATCCCTGATAAACAGGAAGGCATCTGCGCCATCAGTGTTCATCCCTCTCAGAGCATCTGAGAACTGTCTGGACCATCAAAGTTATCCCCAGCCCCCAGGAGTATTCTGGAAGGGACACCAGCCTCACCAAAAACAATTCCCCATTGTGTTTCCCCCCCTTGGAAATCATGGATTTGTAAACAGGTCCTTACATTTAGACAGGTCTTGCCCTGGCTTTGTGTTGGTGGGTTGTTTTTTCTACCCTAAACAATGTCCTTTCCAGTCGGGCCAGCCGTTCACACCATTGTCTGAGACCCTTGGACTACAGGAAACAGCACCAGATTCTTATCAGCAGGGGGAGGGGGCAGAATGAACAGATGAGGTCATGTCTATAAAGCAAGCTTGCTGGGCTGCCACATCGTTCTTCGAGACCTTTATCTGTGAGAACAGAGCCTTCCTTGTCCTCCCAACAAGCCAGTCTAAGCTTCAAGTGTCCTTGGTACAGTCCCCTCCATTGGATGGCAGACACCTGGACTGTGCTCTAAGCCTGTGTTGATTCACTTTGGAATCTTCACCAAGCAACAACTGTGCCCTTGCCCTGATCTTCCCTCTCTGTCCAATGGGATGCTCTTGGCAGTGAGATACACCCTGTTGGGATGGATTAGGATTCTGTCATCTTCCTCCCTGGGCAAAGAAGTCAAGCCCCCTCATCAGCAGAGTCCTAAGTGTAATCTAATAGCTGACTACTTGAGGCCTGCTGTAATGACGAAGGCCAGCATCCCTTACAAGGCCTCCCTGGAGACTGTGTATCACTTCCCATCGTCAGTGTAGAATGATTTTTTTAGAGGCTGTATTAAGGAACCAGGGGTTTCCTTAATGAAAATCCAGCAGGGAAAGTGAAAGATTTCATTATGACACAGCCTGTAAGGGAAAAGGGCCCAACAGTGGTACCCCCAGCCAAGTTGGGTGGGGGCTGGCAGTGGGAAGTGGGCACGGGGCTACAACTGCCCTTGCCTCATCTCCTGTGCACGAGGGGGTGTCGGTGAGTCCGGAAGAAGGACCAGGGTGCGGGAAACTAACAATCTCTGATCAGGTATTGTATCCAAAGTCAGCCCCACCCATTCATTCCCTTCACATCAAGTCCAAGTTTATAGTCTCAGAGAGCCCTGGGGATTTGATGTTGGTGTGTATTGAACTTCCTCCTTGTAGGAGCCCCTGTAGACCAGGACTTAGATAAAGTTAGGGTGGCTCCTTAACTCAGATGGAAATTGGGCTATTTTGGGGCCACTGTCTCTTTGTTCTAAGAAGAAATGTGGCTGACTGGAAAAGCCTCAGTTTGCTGAATTGGTAGTATCATGTGAGCAAGTTTTCTGGGGCCCACCCAGCTCTAGCTGTATCCAGGGGGCCCTGTCAGCTCACAGAGAAAGTAGCCTCGCAGCAAACAGGCCACTTTTTTGAGGGCTGCTGCTCGTCCTAGGTGTTTCTGGGTGCTAACCTAGACTTGTCTGAGTGAAAAGGAAGCACAGAAGTCTTTCAAGAAAATGAAAAGGGCTGTTTTCCTCCCTTATTCTCCCCTCTCCCTGTTCCCTGCCTTTCCTTAGACACTTATCTATTGAATTATAGGACAATCTCAGATTTGAGGTGAAGCCTAGCTCTCCACAGAGGACTAGGCCCAACAGGGGAAGGAAGTAGGCTTGGGAGGCAGGCTGGGTGTGAGAGAAGGCAGTCAGAAGCAAGACAGAGTCCAGACCCAAGGGTCAGCAGACTGGCAGCTTGGCAGCCCTAGGCCTGGGGTGCTGGGTTCTGCTCTAGTATGGGCCCTAGAAAGCCAAAATGTGGCTGTTCCATCTGGGAGGTCATGCCTCTGAAGCTAACAGGTTTAGAAGGCAGAGATTAATACATTAATCTCATGTGTTAAGGGGAGGGATTAATCAGATCAGTATTTTCCCAAAGTATACTCTTCAAAACATTAGAAACGTGAGATGTTCACTACTCTTGGGGCAGAGAGGGGTAGAGGTCCAAACTCTTGGGAGAATTATATAGCACATAGTAGGCATTCAAATAGACGAGCGATCACTGTAGACTTCCCAGGGATTTCTCACAGGACGTGCAAGCAGGCAGCGCACTGCTCCAAGGGGACAAAAGGGGCAAAAATCCCCTTATCTATTAGACCATTGTGACGGGACATTTCCTGAAACAATTTCTCCACAGGACACCTTTTGGAAAACGCTTGACTGATTTCTTACTCAAAGCCCCTTTCCAATTTTAAACTTGAGAAATTAAGAAAGAGGCCCAAAGAGACCTAAAGGAAAAGGTGGGAGAGGAAGATAGAGTGAAATTGCTGGGGCAAGAAATAGGGTTCAAGAGGGGAGGTAGGAGGGGATGTGGGGGTCAGGATATGTCCACCCCTGAGGGGTCTGCAGAGGTACTATGCACGAGGGAGGCTGCATCCCCACAGCCTTCCCACTGTGCCCAGTGGGTATGCTCATGAGGCTTCTCAGTCACTGGTGATGGTGCCTTGAGACAAAGCATCTGGGGTCCAGGTGTTGTCAGGCCTGGGTGTTTGTTGCAGGCACAGTGGACAAAAGTAGGGGCTTGCCCCAGAGCCTGGGCTGCAAGAGGGAACCGGTGATGGACCTGTTCTGTTAAGTCCACCTCCTCCACAACATGGGCTGAGGAACCCATACAAGCAACAGGCTAGTCTCCGTGGGGCGGTGGGATGATGTCCCTTCCATCTTTAAAACACTCCTGCCTTTTCCTCATGTTCCTCCAGCACCAGTGGAGTCTGCTCTTTCTGGGACATGATGTCACCAGGGGAGTGGGAGCTACAGTCAGCAGTGCCTTCTGCAGCATACCCAGGAGGCCAGACTCCCAGGGCTTCCTCTCCTCCCCAGAAGTTGCAGCCCCCACAGCACAGCTCCCATCTCTCAGACAAGAACACAGCGGCCTTAATATATGTTGGTATGTGGCTTGGGATGAAAACAGGCACCAGGCCAAGTATTGCTGTGACAAAAGTCAAGTGTTACTCTGAAAAAAAGTTCAGGGCTGCCTACATGCCCAGCTGCCCTTTGCCAGCACTTTTCCCTTGCACAAGATCCTCCTGAAGTTCTCAGAAGGTCAGGCTCAGAAGTCTTCCGGGCAGGGTTTTACTAATTTAATAAGCAATCTCAGCTTCATAGACAAAGGCCTCTGACTCCTTCCTTCCCCTGATACCTATCTCCCTCCCCTCTAGAAAACACCACCCAGGGTGGCCTCCTTCCTGGAATGGAAAGGGAAAGTTCTTCATCATCAGCTCACACAGATGGTCTCCTTCAATTTAGTAAAAAATACACAGATACAATAATGATATAATTATGTGATGTAAATATGAACTTCATCCCTTTCCTTGTAGACTGTGGTAGACCCCTGCACTAGCCTCACCAGAACTGAGACAGTCATGACAATAAAAGTAACAACAGTAATTAGGAGAAGTGTGCTATGAAGACAGCAAAACCACAAGGCCCATCTCAATTTAAGAATACAAAAATAGAACTCACACATAGAGGCATTCCCAAGAATTAATGACACATAGTACCATGGGGACAAGAGTGGTTAGGGGTGGTTGGTAGAAGCTGTTCTTAATTTTCCAAGTACAGGTGTACAGGATTTTCAGTTCCTTCTCCTCCCCAATTTCCCCAGAGGAGCCTGCCTGGAGCCAGCCATACTTAGGACCAACCTAAAGGCCTCTGCCGGCCTGGTTGTTTCTTCCCGGCTTCCTGACCTAGAGGGCAGAGGCAGCTGCAGTTCTGGCATGGGGGCTTGCGCTCTCTTCCTACTCTCTGTCTCCCCTCCGTTTCTGTTCCAGCCTCTGCCTTGCAGTCCTTGTCTTCTCTGCTTTTCCCTGCCGACACCCTAGGCACAGCAACCCCTGGCCAGAGGCCATCGAAAGTGCTGTCAGGGTGATATCAGTGCTTCGAATTGACTTACTGCTCAAAGGGGGAGAAGAGGGCCTCTTGCAGATCACAGCTCTTTGGGGGGCAGGGAAGGGACAGATAACATAGGCAATCTGGGTGTGAGTTCAATGGGGCAAGTAGCCCTATCTTGCTTTTTGTTTTTCCCTTCTTTTTTTTTTTTTTTTTTTTTTTTTTAAATGGGGAGGGGCTGGAATCTCAAGCCTGATACTCTTGTCTCCTTCCTGTTGGTTTTGTGTGTGACTGACTTGTTCATATGCAGGCTGGGAACAGCTTTCATTTAGTTCTCTTTCTCCCCCTCCCCCTTTGTGCTCCCCAGCCCAAGAAACACATTACTGCCGATGGCAAAGGCACCTCCCTATGTGCCAGACAGAATGCACCTGGCCATCTTAGCCTCAGTCCCCAAAGCAACAGAACTTAGACCTTTTTTTTCCCTTAAAAGAGAAGGCTTCATAAAGGTTTCATAAATTGTACATGACCAACCCTTATTTAGGGGGAACCAAATTCCAAGGTGGAAAACATCTGACTTTCTCTGTGGCTCCTGAGCTAATTGAAGCCATCTTGAGTGCTTGAGATGCCTGCTACTGGCCCCACAGCCCATCCTAGTCCTCCCACATGCTCTCCATCTCAAAAGCCTCATAAGCCTCTGTGACTGAGTAAAGCCTGCCCTTGGCCTGCCCACAACTGCTTCTGGTTCTCAGTTACCACCCTCCCACCTTCCCAGGCTGGGGGCCTTTGCATTGCCAAGTCTAGCTTCCCTCTCCCCATCTCTGTGGAGTGACATTCTCCTAGAACCCACCCTCTCCATGCCCATCAGCATGGAGATTATGATGGGGAGAAGGGGCAACACATCAGGAGGTATGGGCATCCCAGGAAAGCTGGCCTGGGGAAGGGAAGTCAGGCTCTGAGACCCTCCTTTTTGGTTTATAAAGGAGGACTGAGGCCCAAACCACCTCCAGATCCCAAGCAGCTCTAGCAGTCTGTGCTTCTGTGAGTGATTCTGAGATGCAGAAGAGTAGGAGGCAGTGAGGGAACCACCAGGAGATGAGGCAGGCATAGGGCAGGGGCAGGGGTGTCTTGCTGTTCTACCCTCTTAGCACCTGACTCAGTCGGGGTAGGTCTTCTTAATGGGTGCTTAGAGGCCACTTCACCCTCCCCTGGCTGTCTGAAGGCTCCCTGCCCAGACACCACCCCAGACACACCCACACACCCACTCTGAGGGCCACTCAGAATGGCCATTGTTCTGCAAAATGGGAAAGAACCACCCAGCCCTCTCCCTGTGGGCACAAGCGGAAATGTGTTCTGAGGGCCATCTCTGAGAACAAATAGCAGTCCCACCGGGTTACCAGCAGGCTAGAGGGTGCTGGCACCAGCCTGGGACTGAGAGTGCAGAGAGGGACAGGAACAGACCTCCGGCACAGGACCCCTCCATCAAGCCCCCCATCTTTTCTGTGGCAGCCTGCTAGGGGGTGGGGGCAGAGACGCCCATCTCTAAGAGATAACCAGACATGTTGGCCCCCTCTGCTCTAACTGGGTAGGTGGGAGACACTGGGGGTTGCTGTGGGGCCAAGTGGCTCCACCCTCTTCTATGTGGCCTCCACCTCCCGGGGTGTCCGATTGCGCTCGACCTGCACCCGGCTTTTCACTTTTTTGCCCAGCTCCAGCCCTGCCCAGCTCTTGCCCTTGGCCTGTTTGCCGCGGCTCCGAGAGGAACACCATACACGTTCACAGTACTCATCCACCCGGGGCAGGTTGGCGAAGCCAATGAGCTGCAGGATGTCCTTATACCATGCCTTGGGTGGGCTAGAGGACAGTCCTCCCTGGGCTGGGGTCTCCTCTGGCCGAGGCTGGCGGGGAAACAGACTGTGGAGCTGGGTGGCCGCAATCACCTCCAGAGCCAGGCGGACCACCGTCCGGGAGAAGCCATGCTCAAGCGTCGTGCAGATGTAGGTGCCCGCGTCGAGGCGGCTGAGTCTTCGGAACAGCAGCCCCTGCTCTGTCTGCACAACTCGCTCATCTGTCTTCACCTGCCGGGCACATGGGAGGTGTGAGTGGGACATAGAGCAGGGCAAGTACCAGCAACTCCTCTGGCCCCTGCTTTTCCAAATTTGCCATCTCATGCCCAGTGCATGGGCACTTGCCCTGATCTGTCCTCTCCTTCCCAGAAGTGGGTCAGTAGCCTTGAGATTGTGAGCTGATTGCACGAAGCTTCTCACCTTCCCATAGTCCAGGAGAGGCCTGCAAAGTGGACTCTTAAAAGATCTGACTAATTGATTTTTACCCTAATCATAGTTCTGGGGTACCTGTCTTGACCTTGGGGGGCCCTGACACACATTCCCAGGGAGCAGAGGACGTAAGAGGGTAATTTAGGGGCTTTTACTGGCCGTGGGGGTGCTTCATCCCCAGTCCCAATGTTAGAACTTCCCGCTACTACGCATACACCTATCTTGGTCTGCATTATCCACTCCCCCGACAGCGCAGGGCCCACTGTCCCAAGCCAGGAGTGAGCTGAGCGCCCATCACAGTGTAGAAGAAGGGCGTGCTGGTTTGTTCCAGGCCAGTCTCTGGCCCAGAACCTCTCTGGGCTTTAGTCTGCATATCTGTCTGTTGAGGTTGCTCTGCTCGGGCGGTTAGTGTTCTGTAACTCCATCTCCTTGCTCCCCTGCCCTGGCCCCCTGGAGGCGTCTTCTCAGTGCCCAGCCCAACAGCTGGCCTAAGGCTGGCCTCCCCCAGTTCCCAAGCTGAAAGGAGAGCCCCTCCCGAAATCATCCCCTTCCCTGGCTGTGGGAGCGACTCGAGACTGGTTCCTCACCCTGCCCCACCCATACCCAACCTCAGGCCCCAGACTGAAACCATCTCTGGGGTTGACAGACCTTTCCGGATGGGGAGGAAAGGGTCTGGGCAGACAGCTGGACTCCAGGGAAGAAGTGTGAGGCCAGGCAGTGTGTGGGGTGGGTGGGGGGGTGCAAGGGCCAGCATCCAGTGGCTAGGGATCCAGGATGGGGCAGAGGAGGATCAAGAACCCTGGGGAAGAGATTCCTTCAAGAACCAGTTGTGTAGGGCCTCCCCTGGTGGCACAGCAGTTGAGCGCTGGGCTGCGAGGCTGCCTACAGCCTCTGCAGCGCCGGTTCATTCCCCGGCCACCAACAAGGGTCCCCCCACACACACACACAAAAATAAATAAGCAAATGAACTGAAATAATTAAAAAAAAAAAAAAGAAAGAACAAGTCGTGTACCAGCACAGGAAACTTGCTGACCAGCTAGACCCCTTCCCACTCTTCCATGTCTGCTGCACCCTCAGAACTCAGCTCATTCCTGGGCGTAGTAGTTTCCCTGTCACTGGAAGAGTTCCAGCACACATCTGGCTGGGTGTTCCCAGATGGCAGGAACAGGGTACCACCTTCTAGGCTTCCCAGGGGTCTGACACACGCCTTTCTCTGGCTGATCTTGGCAGGTGCACCCCTAGAGCCCAAAGCCCTTTCCTGGAGCTCAGGCTTTGGGGTTGAGGGAGAGGTGTGCCCTCAGGTCATGTGCAGGAGGCAGGGGTCCTGGCTCACCTGGTCGGGCCCCACCTTCCCTGGCCTCTGTAAGAACCAGCGCACAGCAGCCTGGGGAGACTTGGGCAGGCACTCAAGGAAGGTGCTGTTGTGTTCCGTGCCGTAGACCTTGCTGGTCGCCACTAGCCCTGGAGGGAGGCAGAGGTTGGCTCAGCTCAGGAACACAAGGACCCCAGGGCCACCAATTGACTTCCAGGAATCCTGACTACTATGACAGACCAAGCAGTCAGCCTGTCCAAAGGCCTAACACCCATATTCTGACAGGGGCTGCACAGCTGGAGAGACTGAGGACCCTATGTTACAACAGGACCAGGCTGAGACCACGTTTCACAGAGGTCAAGCCCAGGCCACAGGGTGAGTAGTGGCTTTGTGAGACCCCAGGCAGCCCCAGGGCTGCCGGCACTCACCTTCCTGGCTCTGACCCAGGCACTGCAGTGCAGGGTTGCCATGCCGGATGTCCTGCCGGCGAAACCTGCGCTTGCTGGTGCCAGGCCGGTAGCGGGTGCAGGAGGAGCCATCCCAGGCACAGTATGGGTCACGCGCCAGACAGCACTCTGCACAGGCACTGCCATAAGTCTCACACTGGTGCAGCTGCAGCCGGGCCACACCCAGCCTTGAACCCACATAAAGCATTTGCTGAGAGAGACATAAACGACCTGAGTGAGCTTGGTTCCCCAGAAGCAGCTACGCTGTCAGTACCCTGGGGTTTCCTGAGACCCCTGCCTTTTACAAGCAGTTTTCCAGGACCTCTCAGTGCATTCTTAGAAACCAAAAGTGCTTGTCACCCACCTACTATACAGCAGATCCCATGAGGGGATGGGGCAAACCCAGGTCTTTTCCCTGTCCTCCCTGCTGCGGACCTTTGCCCTCTACCCCAATTGCCTTTATTTTCATTCACCTCTGACCTTAGAGGTTCACACTGCTTTATACAATCCTAGCACAAAAGTTGGGATTTGCCCAAAGATAAACTGGAACAGATAAACTTGCCACTTGCAAAAGGACATATAGCAGGCCTCTAAAAAGTGACTCCCCTGTTTGATTAAAAATTTGGATTTTTCTTTTCTTTTTTTTTTTTAACTTAATTTTTATTGTGGTTAAAAAAAACACATAACAATTCTTCATTTTTAAGGCAAGAACCTCTCTTCTGAATTTTGGATCCACTTATCCAACTATCTACTAGTGTGACACACAGCTGCCTTGATTTTAACTGTCTAGAATTTAACTCCTCGTCTACATGTTTTGCTCTTTCATCTCCCACTTCCTCTCATATTCTCTGGCAGGTCACCCACTGGGAATGGGTCACCCACTGAGTCCACACACTTTTGCTTGGATTATTCTATCTGCCTTCTGACTAATCTCCTCATTAACCTTGGAACTTGCCTTCAATTTATTGGACATACTACAAACTAAGTAATACTGCTAAAATATTATTCTGAAGTCACTCCTACTTAAAACTTTTTTTTTTAAATAATAAATTTTATTTTTATATTCCCCATACAATTGCAACCCCCCCCCCATTCTGACCCCAATCCCTCCCCTCCCACCCCCCACCCCCTGGATTTTTCTTTTCAAGAACATTTTTGCCTCCCTTCAGAAACCGGCCTTAGTGGGTCCCCCTGATCCCCAACACAGCCTCACTTAGTCAGTGCCTCCCACTGCCTGCTGATTTAATGCCTGGGATCTCAGCTCCCTCCTGGATTCACAGCCACCATTGCAGGGCCCAGCAGGGCAGTTGCAGCTTACACAGCAGCTTCCGGCAGACAGTGACCGACAGCGCTGCAGGAGGCTGCAGCCGTGGGGAAGGGAAGGGAAGGGGTATAGAAAGGGGTGACAGCTGCTCTTACCCTTTTGACGGAGATCTCCATTTCAGTGATGGGTGTTGGCACCTGGGGGAGGGGCAGAGTCTCAGGAAGGGTGCACTGGGGGACAGTCTCCCCCGCAGCCCTACTTTCAGCCTCCTCCAGCCCCCCACTGGGAGCCATCTATCTCCTAGCCTGGGCCAGCGCACTCCTTGGCAACTAAGGCTAAACAGTCTTTCCCAGACATTGGGTTGCCCTGGCTGGTCTCCAAGCAGAAGGCTCAGTTAAAAGCACAGAGCTCTGGTGTCCCCTCCACAGCCCTGTTCCCCTGCAATGAAACAGCTGTCCCAATCACCCATCCTTGTCAGAAGGCACAACAGTCCCCCAGACACAGATGACAGATGACCACCCCTGCCGCCTGACTCTAGAGAGGGCCAAACAGAACCTGTTGGGGACTTGGGGGTCTCAGCTTCCCACTCACAGCAGTGTGAACCTGGCAAAGTTTTGACAAGGGGTGCTCACCTTGATCATCCATCTTGGACACCCCTCTCCCCCCAATTTTTAGCTCACAGGCTGCATATCCCACGTTCAGGAGCATCAGCAAGACCTCTGTGCAGTGAATGGCACCTTTTACCTCCCACTGACTGCAGGTTCGGCAAAGGCAGGCCCACCCATCCCATTTCCCTTCTGTGCTGTGCTCCTGCTTCCCCGTAGACCTATAGGCCCCGTAGGCCTATACCCAGACATGGACTGGCGGGGTGCCCCTGCTCACCTTAAACACCTGGAGCTCCTCCAGAACCACCTCCTCTGGCTCAGCTGAGCCCTCGACCTGGAGGGCAATGACCTTGAGCACGGAGCCTGAGTCTGTGGGGGAAAGGAGGGATCAGTGGGAGAGGAAGGGGTAGCTTGGGCCCCTGCACACCTCCCAGTCTAGCCATCCTGCTCAGCGCACCCACCAGTTCCAAGAAAAATGACGTCGTATGTCCCGTCTTCTGCCTCCACTCGGTCCACCACTATCTGTTGCAGCTGCTGGGTTAGGTGGGTTTTGACCAGGACAGGGCGGCCCCCCCGAGGCTGCACAGGCCTAAACATGAGTGGGTGGGCTCGGGCAAACTGCAGCACCTCATCCGGGTAGTCCTTGGTGTTGCCAAAGGGTCTGCCTGGTTGTGCGGTCATCTTGCTGGGGCACTGAGGGCAGCAGCAAAGGAACACCTGAAGCATCCTGGGATCTCAGCACCTTCCTGCTTCCATGCCCCACTGCTTGGACATGCCAACCCCAAAGGGACCCCAACCTCAGAGGGACTACTCTCAATACAGGAGAGCTCTGCCCCCTCCTCACCCCACCCAGCCCCTCTGGAGCCTCAGCTCAGCGCTGCCAGGGGGCTGCATGCACACACAAGGCTGTCAAGGGTGGGGGTCCCTCCTGGCATCGGCCTCCTCCTCCCTGGCCTGGTCCCTGGCAGATACTCACCACACCAGGACGTGGGAAGGGCACCTTCCCCCCATAGGGCCCCCATTGGTGCTGGGGACCATCTTGGTGGGCAAAGGGCCCCTTGAAGACCTCCCAGATGTCTTCCATGTGGTACACGCAGACCGCAAAGCCTTGGAACACGGCACTGCCAAGGGCGAACAGGGACAATCAGGCCAGGGTGACTGTTATAGGTAGGAAGGGGGCAGCATGGCTCCATGGGCAGGACAGAGTGACAGTACCTGTGGTCAACAGACACCAAAAGATAAGGGCACCAAGGCAAAAGCAAGCGGAGACAGAGAATACAGCCATGGAGTCTCCGGGTCAGGGGCAAACACGGGGACCCACGGTGAGGTCAGAACATGAGGCAGCGGCTCAACAGGGGTACAGGGCCAGGGTGCGGGCGAGGGGAGGCCAGTGTGCCTACCTGACTGTGCTGAACAGTGCATACACTTCAAGGCTCTTCCCTGCCTTAGGCCACAGCAGGAACACATCCTCTGGGAGAGAGAAAGCCACAGCCAACACCTCCTACTCACTGATTCTGGCCCTCCCTACTCCCACACTCAGGCCTGCCCCGTCTGTTCCCTTACCTAACTGGTCAAAGTGAGTCTCGGCACCACCAGGGCCGGGCACGGAGCAGACCAGCCTGGCCTTGAGAAAGGTGCTCCACTTGTTCACCAGCACCCGCTGTCCACCCACGTCATTCTGGGAGGTGGAGACCCACAGTCAGCCTTGGGCCTCTTCTCCTGTCCCCCTACCCACACCCTTCGAGGAGAGGCCTCAGCTTCAGCTTCACGCCCTTGCCTCAGTTTCCCTACTGCTGCACTTGGGGGTGAGTCAAGGAAGGGAAGATATGGCGAGAAATTGAACGTCACGGCCCCTTCACTTCTCTCACCATGCAGACACGGCCCACGCGGCTGACGGTGACATGACCTGGGCCTCCACCGGGTGAGGGGATAGTCTCCGAGAAGAAGAAGTACACCTTGTCATCGTCCTGATCCGAGTTGTCAGGGATCCGGGCAGCCATCACAAACTGGGGATCTGGGGGTGAGAGAGTGAAATTAGGAGAGGGGCCTGACAAAGGAGGCCAGGAGCCTGAACCCAGGGATGAGAGGAAGAAATGCAGGGGCCCCACTGAAGACTGGAGTCCTAGGAGCAGAGAGTGGGCATGGGACCCCCTCCGGCCCCCACTCTGGCGTCAGCGCTCCTGCCTCCCCGCCAGGCTCGCCCTCAGCAGACTCCTGGGCTCACCGTGCAGGAGGTTCTGGTCAGAGTCGGATCGCAAGGCAGGCCGGGGACCCCCACTCCGGAAGATCATGGCCTCTCGCCCCAGGAAGTCGGCAGTGAGGCCTGTGTATAGCTCCCCGCCTGGGGTGGGTGTGGGGCAGAGTCAGGGGAGGAGGGTCAGGCCCTGCAGCTGGGCCCCATCCTCTCCCAGTGGGTTGGGTCAGCCGCACCCTCCTGGGCTTGCCTCAGCCTGAGCGTCACCCACCTACAAAGGTGTTGGCGAAGGGTCGGTTGGGCTCGTGTGGGCACCGTCCCCGCCCGCCCTCCACACTGCTGGGCTCCAGGTGGAGCACATGCTGGGGAGGAGAAGGGGAGAGGAGTGTCACCCGGAGAGCAGCCCAGCCCCTACATCCGGGCAGTGACCTTTGCGTGCAGTTGGGGAGTCAGGGGTGGGTGGAAGGCCCTCTCCTTCAGGGCCTCCCAGTGGGGTCTGCTCCCTGGCACAAAGGCGCCTTTCAAGCCCCTGACCCTCCATCCTGATGCAGGCTCAATGGGGAGCGTTCAGGCTGCTGGGAGGAAACGGCACTTTCTCCCCAGGCTCACCTCCCCACGGTGCCCTACTGTGATGAGGGCACAGGTAGGCTGGAAGGCCCCAGTGCCACATGCCAGCAGGTGGGTCCGGTTGTGGGGCTGCAGCACCCTCACGAAGTTGGCGCACTCCGTCTAGGGGGAGAGTGGGTGGAAGGGATGGAAGGACACATAGCATCTCCACCAGCCAAGGTTCAGCCCTGTCTGGCTGATCAGTTCTGGGGCAGGATGGGGGTGACATTCTTCACAGACCTTCAAGAGTCCTGGAGATCTGCTCCAAATGTTCCCCACACCCCAACCCCCTTCCCAAACAGGCATGGGAGTGTGGTCACAGGCTACCCTGGGGGTCAGGGCCTGAGTGTTGGCCAGGGTTGGAGGGCAGTCACTCCTAACAACACTCACCAAAGGATCTCTTCCTTTTCGAACACACTCCTCCCTCTGTCCTGGCTGTGGCGGCCACAGGACCTAAAACACAGCTAGCTGATCCCTGACCTCACAACCTCAGTTTCCCCATCCAACCTCCCATTCTGAGGGACTGAGCTTTCATATAGCCCCTCTCCCTGGTCAGTCCCACTCACCTCCCTGGGATCTGGCCATGCCTGGTCCAGTCGCAGAGAGTAGAGAGAGTCACGGCCCCCCAAAAAGAGGCGGTCTCGGTACTCATCCAGGAACATGGCTCGAAGGTCCAGGGAGCCCCGGGGACCCAGAAAGATGGCAGAGCGGTTGGCAGATAGGAGGTCTACAAAGAAGCAAGGGAGGGGCCAGGGCCTTCTGGTCAGCCCACATCCCCAGCTAGTTTGTCGGTGGGGGGTCTCAGCTATGCATTCACACACACACAAACACACACACACACACACACACACACACTCATATCTGGAAAATGTTTCCATTCACAAGGCTGCTGGAGAACTTTAGGGAAGTGGATCCTGGGGGTGGGTACAACAGGAGGCTCTGAGTGGCACCACCACCCCTACCCCTCTTCACCCTCCCCCCTCCCTGCCCCAACTAGCCCAGCCACCCAGGGGCCTGCCTCCAGCCCCCACATTCCTTAACTCCATGATCTTTCAGTTCACATCTACTTCCCACTGTCCCCTCTTGCCCTCCAGGGAAAATGGCTCCGCTGGCAGATATTATGGCAGCCAGCTGGGCAAAGTGCCAGGGGAGCCTGGAGGAAGAGTGGGTAACTTTGAGCAGCTTGCAAAGCTGACTGCACAGGACAGGTGGCAGGCAGACAGAGGAGAGAGTTCCCAGCAGAGGGGCACTGGGCAAAGGCCTGAGTACGGGCAAGGCCGGGTATGGCCAGCGGAGCTCCAGGCTCTAGTCCAGGGGTGTGGCTAAGAGGGTTTTCTTCTCCATAGCTACCCACTTAGGCCCCAGGGATGGGGGTGGGATGATGTCCCAGGAGTCTAGGATCCTGGAACTTGGGGGTTGGTTAAGGAGGTAGAAGTGATGGATGAGCAAAGGGTCAGGCAGCAGGATATGGTGGGAAGGGGGACCCTTAGGAAGACTGAGTACCCTATGCCTGCCCAAGGGTCATCTTGGGCACAGTATCCACTCCATCCCAAACTTATCCACACCTTCTTCCAGGAAGCCCTCCAGGGCTGACAGAGGGGGCTTGCCTTATTTGGATTTTTTCTTGTAGCCTAAATTCTCCCCAAAAACAAAGATCCCAGGACAGGATCACAGTCTTCCCAGGAGTCCCCCCACTAAGATTCTCCCAATTTGAACCATGTCTCCCCACTCAGACTCTCCAGAGCAGGCCAGGATCCTCAGACTGGGGTTACCAGAGGAATGTGGTCAGTCCTCTGGTTTCCCTGAGAAGAGTCTGTTGAGAGCCCGCATCCCAGGACGGTTTCCTTTGAAAAGTCTCCACACATGCAGAGGAGGCTGTGCCAGCAGCAGCACAACATGTCAGGTTAGATGATCAGAGGAACCTCCTGGGCCAGAGTGGGCAAAGAGGGGGGCTAGAATCCTCTTTGGGATGGAGAGGGAAGTGGGCTGCGTGAGGCAGATGAAGGTAAAGAAGTGGGGACAGGGTAAGGAATCCCTGTGGGGAAGGGAGGTGGGGAGAGGCTGTGCCCTGCTCCCCTACTGCCTGCCCTGGGCACAGCCCCCATCAGCACCCAGATCCTCCAGCCCCGCTCTTTGCCTTCCACATCTCTCTCTGCCCATCTCTACTGAGCTCCGGACGTGTCTCATCTGACTCCCGTTCTCAGCAGCCCCAGCAGCAGGCTTAGCCCCTGAGAGTCTGTCTCTCCCACCTCCACCCCAGCCTTGTCTCCCAGACCTGCCCCCCTCCCCCGGCCAGCTCCAGCCTCTGGCGGCAAACTGGCAGAGCACCATGCCAGGGAATCACCACGAAGTTCTTCCCACGGGTTGCGCAGGGAGTGACCGTATCCCCCTGACTGGGACCCCTAGCTGGGGGTGTCTCAGGGCCCAGGGCTCCCAGGAACATGCACAAGAACAAGGCACTCACTGCCCTACCTCGGTAGGAGAGCCGCAGGCGGGGCACGCTGGGGCTGGGGCTGGGGCCGGGGCTGGGGTGCCCCCCTTGGATCAGGAGGCCCCCTAGGAGACAGCAGATGGCCCAGGCCGAGGGGCCCATGCTGGGGAGCCTAGGGCACCACTCTGCCAGCTGCCAGCGGAGCCACCCTCCAGTCCCACTGCTGGTTGTAGTTTGCTCCTTTGCCGCTGGGCCAGCCACTTATAAGGCTGCGGCTCCACCCCGCCCTGGGCCAGGAAGAAGGGGGAGGAAGAGGGAGGGGACTGGACAGCACTAGGGCCCTGGAGATCCACCTGTAGCCTCTCCCTCCACCTTGGTGGGTCGGGTTGATGGCTCGTGTCAGAGAGTGTCCCGCTGGGGACACTCCTTCCCAACTGGAGTGGGTGATTTCCACAGAGATGAACTCCAATCCAAGTCCCCAGGCTCCACGGGAAGGGGGCGGGGGTGGGGTGGGGGAGAGGAGATAGCCTGGAAGGGCTGTCCGGGGTCAGAGGCCAGAAGATGGTGCGGCTGGGTGGGGGTCTGGCTGGGTTCTGTTTGCTCCCTGCTCTTGCAGTGCCCCTTAGAGAGAGCTCCATAAACTCACTAAGGGTCCAGGTCTCTGATACCAGGTGGATTCAGACCCCTGAAGCCCTGGCCTAGGTCCCCAGCAACTCTGGTAGGCTCAGGTTGCTTGGGGAGAGCTATTCTAGCCTGAGTGGTTCCATGCTAGGGACAGGGGCTTGAGGATTAGCCATACTTTGCAGATCTGAGAATGGCCGGAGATGAATGCCCAGTCTCCACCCGGGTTTGTCCCTCTCTGGCATCCAGGCCCCATCCCAACTCATAGGGGAAGGGAACAGGATCTGCCCCAGTGCCAAGGAACCCCCCCCACATTGCCCTGCTTCCCTCAGCCCTCCAGTTGTACCAGACTCAGGGTCCAGAGCATCCCCTGCATGTGTTAGGTTCTTCCCAAGATACCCCTCTGCCCCCAGGCCCCTACGATCCCTCCAGAGAGAAGGTGGAAGGGGGGTCTTACACCACCACTGCCCCTGCCTTGAGCTCTGATTTAGGAAACAGGAGAGCTACAGAAGAGGGACAAGGGGATTAAGGCTGAAAGGTTGCATCCAGGGAAGCGAGGGACCTCACCATGCCCCCTAGCCCACAGCAGTCCTGTCTCTCATCTCTTACCTCCAACCCTACCCCACAGGACTGTCACTGCCCCTACCCCAGGCCCCTGGACTCAGAATTGGTGTAATCTGTGTACTAAGAAGACTTCAACCTTGAACTGAGATTGGAGCACCAGGATTCCAGAAACTCCTGTGGGTTAGGCCTTCCCAAGGGACCCGCCTGAGTCTTTAGATGATGATCAGGACACTTGGGGGGCATCAGAGAGGGAAGGACTGGGTCCATGCCACACATCAGGCTCTGAAGAGGTTCTGATTAACCCTGTCCCTTCTGTATCTGGGACTCCTAGAGGGACCCTGTCTCCCCATCTCATCCCTGGAAGGATGGAGAAGGACCAAGGCATTTGGAACCCTGATTCCCTGTCCCCACCTCCCCAACACATAGCTCTTCTTGTCTCCTCCTGGGGTGGGTGAAGGGAGGTTTGCCTGGGAGTGGGTGAGGGGTTACTGAGGGATGCCAGTGACAGGCCTCTGCCCACTCTGCCTCTGGTCTCTTGGAGAACCTTGACCAAGGTCCTTCCCTCTATGGGTCTCAGTCTCTTCCAGGGCCAGGACCAGACACTTTGGGTGTAACAGGCTCTATACATCTGGTGAGGGGTGCTTGCGCAGGGGTTGCCATGATGTGGTTATGTTCTACACCCCCATAGGGGTGGAACCCCTGTGCCTCTGTCTCCCTGTGGAGATATTTGGGCACATAGCCCAGGCGGGGGGCCAATGTCTGGCTGGAGATTGAGCAGACCAGCCCCTTACTCAGCATGTGGCCACCAGCTGTGGGCAGGAAGCCCAAGGACTCCTTAGCTGCCATTTCACCCCAGGGATCTCAGCTGGGACTATGCAGGGGGCTGGATTTACTGGAGCAGGATGTGGGGGCGGGGGGGGGGGGTCAGCCAACTCCACACTGCAGGAAAAACAGCCATGCAAGGACTGGGAGCCAGAACGCTACTCTTAACGTGTTGTGTGGCATCAAGAAGTTCCTCAGTTCCTCTCCTTTTCTGAGCCTCAGTTTCCCCATGCGAAAGGGGGTTAAAGATTTTCTGCAAAGGCTTCTGCTTGCTGGCTGCAGGTAGGAAACAGACCCCAACGGTGCCCTTGAGTTCTCTCATCAATGGGCCCAGCCATGGGCATCTTGTGTCATCTAGTGGACAAAGTAGGAACTGCAGAAGGTCCCCAATGTGTCCACTGTGTCAAAAAGGCTGTGCTGAGCTGTGGGTCCACTCAGCAGAAACTGTAGTTTCTTGGGGTGGCAGGCAGTGACCATGTAATTAATGATATAAAGAGTCAAGCCTCCCTGGTGTCCTAGGAGTAAAGTCTCAGCATTATCACCGTTGCAGCCTGAGTTTGATCCCCGGCCAGGGAGCTACCCACATGGTGCAGCAGACCTCTCCTGACTTGCCCGCTGCTCCCCTCAGCAGTGTATTTCAGTAAATTCACCTGCTCTGCTCCCCACTCTGTCTCTGGTAAATCCTCTCACCCCTCCTTTATCTCTGATCTACATACCAGTTCTTTCACGCATATGTGTGTGTGTGTGTGTGTACACACACACACACATACACACACACACACACACACACACACACACACACACACACATATAGAAAGAGGGAGAGTCTTCAGTGATTGCTTCTGATGAAGGAGATCAAGGGAGGCTTCATGGTGGAAATACTACCCAGACAAGTGACAACAGTACATCAGAAATGGAGATGACTGACCCAGCAAAAGTCAGATTAGGTGTGCATGTAGGGGAGTGCAACGCCATGTGCTGGTGGGAGCTAGTGAGCCCTTGGTCATCAGTATGTGAGCTGTGTGTGTTCACACATTGGGTGCCACCAAGCATGTGGAAAGGGTCACAGCCTAGCCTCTCCCAGCCAGAATTCTGGAGCGGGCATGTCTGGAAGAAATGATGCTCCCATTTCCTCCCCCACCTCCACCTCATCTGGAAAAGAGATATTGGGACCCTTTTTTCAGGGATCCATGAGGACCCCTTGTTTAAGGTGCCAGTCACTCCACAACCCCTTTTTGCATCTGGCCCAGCCATCTTCCTGTTTTGTTTGCAGAGAGCTTAATTTGGGACCCTCCCCCTCCCAACTCCATCAGTACCCCACACCCCTTGGGTGCTTCTTTCTCCTCCTCTCAGCCAATAACCCTTCTCTTCCCTCCACCGCAGCCAGCCATGCTCGGAGTCACGACCCACATGGGTGGGACCTTTGCATCTCCATTCAGTCCGTCTTCCTCTGGATACCACTTTTTTTTTTTTTATGGGGAATATAAAAATAAAATTTATTTAAAAAATAAAAAAAAATACATCCACATGTATCCCTACAAGAAGAGTGTTAAAAAAAAACCACAATACAAATAAAATGAACAATTCTTTAGTATCATAAAATTTTTTCTCGGTATCTAGTTTCATAAAGACTGTTATGATTTGTTAGAATCAGGATCTCAAGGAGATAGACACACATTATATCTGGTATTACATCTGGTTTTTAGATCTATTGAGTCTCTTATTTTCTAGTTTCCTCACCCTTTTTCTTGTCATTCAATAAACTAGATTATTATCCAATAGAGTTTTCCTATCTTACATATTTTTCTATTCCTGTGATGATACAAATTTTACTTCTGGGTGATAAATGCCATGCTAAACCATGTGATATTAATTACACTTTTGGATACCACTTCTTACGCGCAGTATCCACTCATTGTCCCCCCAGTCTCAGGAAATAGCAGTTTTATCCCGTAAATGAAAGGCCATCTTTGACTTCTTACCTTCTCACCTCACAGTCACCCCCTCAACAAGTTCTGTAGAGTTCAGTTCTTGAACATGTCCTGAACTTGTTGCCTTCTCTCCACCCCTTTTGCCCTATGGTTCTGAGACCCACTGGGCCTTCTTACCCAGAACCTGCCCCATAGGAGTGAAATCATACAGAGTTTGTCTCTGTCTGACTTATGTATATACACATATGTGTGTATGAATATAATTATGACTGTTTCACGAAACATGATTCCCTTTAGGTCCATCCATGTTGTTGCAAATGGCAAGACTTCATCATTATTTTTTAAAAGATTTATTTATTTATTTTTGTGTAGAAGAACTGGGGTGTAGGCCAGAGGTGTGGGGGTATGAGGCAGATCGACTGAATTACACTGCTGAGGGGAGCAGCGGATTAGATAGGAGAGGTCTGCTGTGCCATGTGGGTTAGCTCCCTGGCAGGGGATCGAACTCAGGCCATCCTGGTGATAGTGCTGAGACTTAACCCCTAGGCCACCCAGGAGGCCCAGTATTTCATTATTTTCCAAAAGCCAAGTAGTATTCCATTGGGTATATATACCACATCTTCTTTATCCATTTGCCAATTAATGGACATCTAGGTTATTTTCATTAAAAAAAAAAGTTTTTTGAAAAAAACAAATCTTCATTGTCTAAAAATATATTTATGTAAAAATTCCCCACAAAGATGCTACTCTCTCCTTTCCCTATCTTATTCCTCTTTTTCAACACCTCTGATATAAAGGACATCACTGTATCTTATTAAAACTTCACCCGGATGTCCAGACAGCGCTCGTCTGTGCATTCTTCTGTATCTGGAAGCTGCATGTTCTTCCCCACTGCTTTCCCATGGTGGGTTCCCTGGATGGCTCTTCAGGCCTCTGCTCAGTGCTACCTCCTCCAGGAAATCTTCCCAGGCTACTCTGTCTCATAGCTATAATCCCTATTCTAGCAATATGCTGATTTCCTCACTCTACTCATCTCTCCCCTTTCACCCTGAGTTGACTGTAAATTCCACAAGATTAGGAACTAGGCCTTCCAGTGATGGTTGCCACTATCTAGCTTGTGTAGTACATGTAGGTGTGTGACTAAACCATGGAATGGCTTAGTCTGGCAGAGGTACCCACTGAGGCCCTGCCATCTTGCTTGAGATAGTGTCATTTCTGGGTTGCTCTGGGTGTCCGTATAGGCCCCTAAGTTCTCCAGTTCCCACCTGTAGGCCTAAGTGTATTCACTCCTCCCCTCAGACCTCTCTGGGGAATAGGCAGCTGCTGCTGGCTCTTGCCTCCACTGGAGGCATCTCCAGAATTCCAAGACTGTCTCTGGAATGCTGGGCCTGTGTGGGGAATGCCAGGGCCGGGTCACAGGTCTGGAGAGGCTGTGGAGTGGCTGGGTGGAGCAAAGACAGCTGCTGACATTCTGGCTGGAGCCTGGGGCAAGTGGCAGCTGTCCTTCCTGCAAGCACCACCACCAACACCTCTACTTCCTTCAGCCATCATCCCCTCCTCAAGGCCAGTGTCACTGTTCTGGTCACATCTCTGGTCTGGATGTCCCCACTAAGCCGAAAGCCACCCAGACCTTGTACCTCTACTTCCTGTCTGGGAGGGAAAGTGTGCTGCTGTTGTCTCTGGGATTCACAAAAGTTGAAAATTACAACCACCTGGACTCAGTCCATCAGACAGAGCCCTTCGGTGGAAGCCAGGTGGCTTGGTGATCCCCCAGAGTCACTGGATGACCTGATAGGGCCCCATGCCTCTGGGTCCCAGATTCATCACCTACTGAGGCAGATGATATGCCTCTCAAAGTTGCCTGCAGGAAATCCAGCGAGTGGGCAGGTAGATGAGCTGTAGGCCCGCAGGGGCCCTGCAGTCCCCTGCTGCTCCCCAACCAGAGATGAGAAGGAGCCAGGACTGCTGTGCCAAGTGGCATCCAGGGCTTAGCCTGGCACAGCAGTTTCTGCTATCTCCAAATGCAGGATCCCTTGGCTGTCAACTGACTGACCCATGCCGTGGTCCCCAGGAGAATTTAAATGCATATCATGGGCCATCAGACTCCGGATGCTGAACTGCTGGAGATGAGGCCTGGGCATCAGCAGTCAGAGAAAGTAGCCCAAAGGGCATGGAGTGTATTCTGCCTCATCTAAGCCAACCCCGCCTGCAGAGGGTGGCATATAGGGTGGATACAGGGATGGGGGCAAGAAAATGGTCCTTGGGGAAGGGGTGGACCCTGGCAAAGAGTCTCGGGCCCCAGGAATGTGAGTCGGACACTAGGCCTCTAGGGAGCAAGGCTTTATTTGCATTCCCTCAGAGGAGGGTGTAGTCGGGAGGGCCAGCTAGAGCTGAAAGGTGGGTACAGGCAGTTCTGGCCAAGGGTAGTTTCTACTCGACCCCCTTCATGAACTCCAGGAACTCTGTGGAGAGAGGCAGGCTGGCGTCAGGGGGTGACTCTGGCAGGCACAGGGTCTAGCCCACTGGCTCCCACTCACCATCATAGTCGATGCGGCCGTCATTGTTTTTGTCGCCGTCCTTCATGAGTTCCTCAATGTCGTCCTCTGTGATGGTCTCCCCCGTGGCCTGCAGCATCATCTTCAGCTCTTCCAGGTCGATGTAGCCATCAGAGTTTCTATGGAGACAGGGGCGGGGGGAGGGTCTCAGAGCCCGGGGTAGGGGCCAGAAAACAGCCAGCCTCACTGCCACACCCATGCAGAAAGGCCCAGGCAGCTGGGAGATGCTGCAGCCCACACCCCTGCTGCAAGGAGGGGCCAAGGCCGCTCGTCTCCTTTCTCCAATTCTGCTGAGCCGGATCGAAAACCAAGAGTCAAGCACTCACTTGTCAAACATGCGGAAGAGGTCAGACAGCTCCTCCTCAGACTTTCCCTTGCTGTCATCCTTCATGCAGCGAACCATCATGACCAGAAACTCATCGAAGTCCACTGTGCCACTGCCTGGGTGGGGGCAGGGCCACCAGAGAGGGGAGGTCAGACACAGACTCAGGCATAACACTGGCCCCATGTCCTCACTGCATCCTCCCACCAACTCTGTGAGGAGGTGTGGCCATTGTGTCCATTTTATTGATGAGACGACTGAGGCCCAGAGATATGAGGGCACAGAGTAATGCATAGTAGAATCAGGATTCTAGGTGCCAGTATGCTGGGAGGGTAATGGGTCTGGGGCCAGGGGAACAGAGGGGCTCACCATCCTCGTCCACCTCGTCAATCATTTCCTGCAGCTCCTCGGGAGTGGGATTCTGGCCCAGCATCCTCATCACCTTGCCCAGTTCCTTGGTGCTGATGCAGCCATCCTCAGCGCCCAGCACGAAGATATCAAAGGCTGCTTTGAACTCTGTGTCAAGAGGGTGGGTGGGGCATAGTGGCTAGGGTCAGCAGCCAGGACCCTGGAAGGCCAAATCATCCCTGGGGCCACCTGTCAACCTGCCCACTTCTCTCTGAGACCTCAGAAGTCACAGGGAGAGGGACCCCAGGCTCAGGTCCCCAGCCCAGAATCCTCGTGCTCTCCCAGGCTGGCCCTGCTATCCCCCCATGTGTGTAGGAGCTCTCACCATTTTTCTGTTCTTCAGTCAGCTGCTCTACCTAGAAAGGAGAAGAGAGTTCGGGACACAGCGTCAGGCCTTAGCTGCTTGCAAGGGAACCAAGCTGTTCCACAGGAAGGAAGATGGAGCTGGGAAGAGACAGGTCTTGCAGAGGCCACAGGCCCTCAAAGCCCTAATGTAACCCAGCTGGTCTCACTGAAGCTGGGCTCAAGGCAGGGGAGAGGTGGGCACCCCCTCCAGGGCTAAGGTAATCCTGAGTAACAATAGTTAGTGACCACTCAATGCCTTTTGGGGACCCCTGCTGAAAACCAAGCTGGGTAGCCCTAGGGACAGCTGTCCTTCAGGTTAGGACAATAAAACCAGTGTGTAGGGGGGGGGCAAAGTCATCCACTGTAACCTGACCGGGGTGGCTACTGGACTATTTTTAACGGGGGACAAAGTTAAACCTGTTGATTGTTCTGGGGACTCTGGCATGCAGGGGGTGGGGTGGTGTTATCTGGTCCCTTGGCCTGCTGGTGTCTCAGGAGCCAAAATTAGTCCCCAGCCCGACAGGCCTTGTATGGGCACTGGGTGGAAGGCTGCCCCCAGCACCCTCCGGCACCATAAACTCCTGCAACTCAGGCAGGCACAGGCACCCCTGAGACAGTTGTTGCCCTTCCCTGCCCTGGAGTAGGGATGCACTGAGGGGGTGTTGGGGGGTGGGTGCATCCCTCAAAGACAGCAGTCTGTGCTGGCATGTCCTTGCCTCTGGAGTGGGGGTGGGGGAGGGGCTGTGAGCATCTGAAGCCCCTTAGTGACCCCAGGAAGTCTGTAGGGACCCAGCGTGCGACCACTCGCCAGCCCTTGCCCCAGCTAAGCCACTGAGCCCTGAGCCTGCCAGGTTGGATTAGGGCGAGGGTCCTACTTCTCTATTCTTCTTCCTGGCTCTCCCCTGTGCCCAACCCTTTCCTGACTGCTTCAAACCTCAAAGCCCCTTCCCCAGTTTAGGATTCAGGTTCTGCGGTCCCCTTCTCGCTACGTCTGTTCCACTCCCCATCTTCAGCCAGCCAAAGGGGCTGGAAGGGGTTGGGGAACTGTGAACATGTGAGAAACAGACTGTAAGGGGTAGTAATGGGGGTGGGGTGGGGACAGGGAGGCAGGAACACAGAGAAACTGCTCAGGAGGAACAAAGAGATGCAGAGAAACTGAGAAAGACAAAGATCCAGAGACACAAATGCAGAGAGATGTGGCATAGAGACAGGTACAAGGACTACAGACACTTGGGGACAGGAGGGAGACTTGAGGCTAAAAGGTACAATCTCCTCTCCAGACCCTGCACCCCTCACCTCTTGCGCATCCTGGAACACCAGACCCATGGTCCCCTTGAGGCCTTAGCTAAAAGTACAAGGGCTCTCTCCTGGATCTCACTACCTTCCTGGGGTGACCTCACCCCCCTTCCTGAGCTGAGTGAGTCCCCAGTGCCCACCCAAACCATGCTCAGATGCATCCCTCACCGCAGCCTTGTAGATGTCATCCATGCTGGTGGCTCACAGGGCAGGCTGCTGGCGTTGCCAAGCCCCTCCTGGGCTTATATAGCCCTGCCCAGCATTCCAAGCCCAGCCCACTCCTGTGAGCACGATTATCCTCCACCCCCTCCCCTGTCCCTGATGATCTCAGGCTGGCCTGAGTCCATAGGCTGGGAGTCTCTGAAAGGTTTCTTGAATGAAAACATGAACATAGCAAAGGGCAGGAGCTGTAAAGTGGTGGGCCCGGGACCATGCCCTTACAACCTGCCATTCGGTCAGGGAAATGGGCCGTATTAGATATTCTCACTTTGTAGATAAGGAAGCTGAGACTCCTGGACAGGTGGCAACTTGCCCAAAGTCTGGCTGATTTCCCAGTCTCAGTCTTAAGTTAAACCTCTCTGGAGTGGGGAGCAGCAATGTGCAAGGAGAGACTGAAAGTGAGGGCCCTCACAAGAGAAGTCTCAAATGCCGAGCTCAGAGCACAGTGCTGTGGAACTAGTGGACAGGAAATCAGTGACCCACCTTAAGAACACAGTGGTCTGAAGTCCTTTAGCCAAGAATGCCGAAGGCACCATGGCCCAGACTTTTCATCTCCCCAGGGAGAACAGTACCAGCTCTGGGCTTGTGTCTGCTGCATTCAGTCATTCAACAAACACACCTACAGATGCCCTATCATACCAGACTACCCATCCCACTTCTCCTCTCCACTTGGGCTACCACCTCCTTCTAGGTTTGGGTTTTCTCCTGGCCTCCTCTCTGTGCCTGTGCTTCCCCCATTCTGGCACTGTAGTTCCTGGGTCCAGGGTCATTCTGTTGCGCCCCCACCCCCCACTCCCCACCCCCCTGCCATTTTTAAGTCTACGAGGACACCATCTGGAGTGTCTTGTGCCCCATGGTCAACACATACCCTTTCCTTCCTCCCACCTGCTCTCATACAGACACCCTGTTTGATAAGCACACCAGCTCCCTATCTTGCAATCCGGACACTGTATGGATTAACCCCTACTCAACAGTAGGCAGGAGATCTCTAAGTCTTAGATTAAGAAATAGCCCAGAGTCACTCTGTGCCTGCCCAGGCTCTAAGCACAGCTCATTTGCTCTTCTGTCACACCCTACAGGGAATGAGACCAAAGCGAGGCGAGGCGTGATTACTAGCTCCCCTCTTTGGAGGCGTTAACTGAGGCCAGGTAGAGCCATGACTTGCTGTGGGCCGCCTGGGAGGTGTAGAGCCCTTTGCCCTCCCTTCCCGGGCACCAAATGACCAAGCCCAGAGCTGTTTCAGCCCCGAGTCTCAGTCCCCAGCGCGCAGCCAGGAGCAAAGAACGCGGCACGAAACAAATACACATTACGCAAGCGGACCCGCCGACGAGGCCTGCGCATGCGCGTCACTGGCAGCTGCTGTCAATCACACGTGAGGGGCGGGGCGAGGGCGCGAGAAAGCGGCGGGCCAAGATGGCGGCGGGGCGCGCGACAGGGGCGGGGGGCGACGGGGTCCGGGGGGCGGTGGGACGCTGACCCCGCCTCCTACTGCTGCCAGTCTGCGCCGGGCGGCGGCGACGGAGCCCGGAACATGGCGGCAGCGACGCGCAGCTTCGGGCCGGAGCGGGAGGCCGAGCCGGCCAAGGAGGCGCGCGTCCTGGGCTCTGAGCTCGTGGACACATACACGGTGCGCTGCGGGCGCTGGCGTCGGACCCCGCGGGTGGCGACTGGAACCCTGAGTCCGAGTCGGGGGAGGGGAGGTGGAGAGGGGGCCTGGGCCCCGCTCCTGGGGAGGAGGGAGATGGGGGTGGCCTACGATTTCGAGGAGGGGGTTTGGGATAGAGAATCTGAGGAAGGGTTTGGGCCTCGCAGGTCCGGAAAGAGGGTCCTGAGGTGCGGCCGAGGGAGGGCGGTTGGGGAAGAGGTACGCGATCGAAAAAGGTTAGGGTTGGGGAGGATCTAGGAATAAAGGGGGTCTAGTGAACGGGGGTTTAGATGAGGCGGAGTCTCTTTAGACTCACCAGGCTCGGAAGGGCGCAGGCCTGGGAGGACGAAACGGGTCCGGGAGGAGGGGTATTGATGGGGGAGTTGTCTGATGGATGGAATGAAGGGAAAGGGTCAGGGTCCTGGAGGCCACGAAGGAAAGGGCGGGACCTTGGTCTGGGGTGGCGTTTGCACTGTGCTCTGAAAATTTGAGGGGGGGACGTCGGGCAGAAACTAGAATGGGAGAAGGCTGGAGCCCATCCACGGGGGAATTGGAGGGGGGTGTTCCACTCAGGGCTGAAAGCGCAAAACCAGGAACCTTAGGGATCTTCATGGCTTTGGGCTGTGGGGTGCAAGGTGGGGCAGCAAGCCACCCTACACACTTAAAGCCTGTAGGGGAGATGCACAACTGAAAAGGGGAGGGGGTGAGTCCAGACATTAATGGAGTTGGAGGTCCTCTTGCTTCCTGATGGGGTCGGACACCAGTCCTATGGGCCTCCCTGCCTGCCTGGCAGGGACTGGCCATGAGATAGGGGCACATACTGAGCATCTTCCAACCTCCAGTCCTTTGTTCCGAAGGGTAGGGGGCCTTGGCCCTGCCTTGGCCCCACCCTCTTGGCCCTAATCCTAACCCTCCTCCTGAGGGTCATTCCTCTGGCTCTTTCTCCTTTCCTGGGAGGAAGGGGGAGGTGGGGGTGGAGGAGGAAAGCTGCCAGGTTGGAAGAAGGGCTGGGAGCGGATCCTGGTACAACAGGCAGCCCTGGAGAAATGGCTGCTCCTCCATGGAGGCTGTGGCTAAGTTGATTATTTTCTCCTCCTTCCCTGTGGGCTGCAGAGAGGAGCAGGGCACTAGAATCAGGGAGCCTCATCCAGGTGAGGATTGAGGTCTTTGAGCTGATGGCTGATTGGCCATCACCCATTGGCTGCATCCAGCAGGAAGATGCTCCAGAGAGCTCTCTTTACTCTAGGGCCCCCCTCCTCTGAATGGGTGTGGGGGAGGTGTGAAGCTGGCCAACCCTACCATTTTGTCTCCAGGTGTCTTGAATTGAATATTAACATACCTACCTTTTGTTGAACATTTGCTACATATCTACACCCTGCACTAAACATTTTGCATGCATTACCTTATTTGATTCTTAGACTGACCAGGTTTTAAGATGAGAGGGACTGATGCTCAGAGACAGCTTAGGCTCCAGTCATTTACATAAATGGCTCATACATAAGCCACAACCAGAAATAATAGAACAAGATTTTGAACTCATCTTCCTTGACTCTGAGAACCATTCCCTTAATTGCTAAGCCCATATGTTAAGCTTTGGTTGCCCAACAGTGCCTTTCTCCTGCTTTCCCATCAGCTTCTTAGTCCCTGACCCCTGGCTCAGCTGCAGAAACCGCAGCCATGAGCTAGCTGAAAGGGTTGGACTGGCTTCCAGGATATAGTGAAGTGCCCCTGAGAGAAAATGCAGCCAAAAAGCTGGTCCCGCCAGACCTGTCCCTGTCCTGCCTCTCATGGAAGGGATGCCCTTGCCTGTAGTTCAGATTGGATAAGGCTTTGAATTACCTGAAGGTGAAAAACTAGAGATGTCTTGATAGGACAGTCACCTTTTCCATTCCTCACGGTTGCATCGAGCCACTGACTTATCCTGTGTGCCTGTCAGATCCAGTGCTAAAGCCATGGAGGAGGCTATGAGGGGACCCTGTTGCTCAACAGGAGTCAGGTGCAGGAGCTGGTGGGTCATGACAATTAACTTGGCCTGGGGTAAGGGAAGTCTGAATTTCCTACCCTGTTGCTAGGTTAAGGGGGGATGGGGATACTTCTTGTTGCTTATTGGGCAAGAGTGGTTTTCCCTTTTAGGTTTACATCATCCAGGTCACTGATGGCAGCCATGAATGGACAGTCAAGCATCGTTACAGTGATTTCCATGAACTGCATGAAAAGGTAATCTTTGAGAGCTGGAGACCTGTGTCTGAGGGGTAGGGAGCTTTTAGGCCAAGAACCCATTGTGCATACATTTGTTTTTGGGCAAAATAGGCTCTGTGCATTTAGTGTTTTTAATAAACCAGTTTATTAATGTAGTTGGCAAAAATAGTGGTAGATCATGGGAGTTCAACTGTAACATGTAATGGTGTACACGGAGCTTTTTTTTTTTAAGATTTATTTATTTATGCATACAAGAATTGGGATATAGACCAGAGGTGTGGGGAGTGAGAGGATTCACCAGAGACAGAGTAGGGAACAGAGCAGGCAGACTGACTGAAATACACTGCTGAGGGGAGCAGCGGGCAAGTCAGGAGAGGTCTTCTGTGCCATGTGGGTTGGCCCCTGGCCGGGGGATCGAACTCGTGCTGCAGAGACTGTGGACAGCTTCATAGGTTGCGTCTTAACCCCTTGTGCCACCAGGGAGGCCCTACATGGAGCATATTTGAGCAATTTTAAGATTGCCAGTCCCACCTTGGATGTGACTTGTTGGGACAGTTTATTGGGGAGGGAACGAGTTTGAACTTGTTCCATTTAAAGATAGCTATTCCAGAGTTCAGTACTTTAATATTGACTGTGATTTGATGTCTTTCTTTACTTTTGGAGATAATTTCTTTCTCTGGGTCACTTGAAGCCTGAGTGTATTAAAGAAAGACCATCAACCTGATTGGGTTTCTTTCTGGTTTGGAAAAGATGTTGAATTAGGGGTCTGGATCATGTCTCCAAGGTCTTCCTATGGAGCTCATTGCCTGGAATTGTATTTGTATTCCTAATGCTAAGTGAATTGATGAGCCAAATCCCAGATGCACTGGGTTGATCACTAATTGGAGCTCCTGCCTAAAGGGCTGGTGGAGGTTGTGACAAGCAACTGCCCTCAGCTGCTTGCCTCAGGCTTGCACCATCACGGAACCTCTATGGTTGACATGCTTATGTTTTCTTACAGCTTGTTGCAGAGAGGAAGATTGATAAAAATCTGCTTCCGCCCAAAAAGATAATTGGGAAAAACTCAAGAAGCTTGGTGGAAAAGAGGGAGAAGGATCTGGAGGTCTATCTCCAAACACTCCTGGCCACCTTCCCTGGCGTGGCCCCTAGAGTGCTGGCCCATTTCTTACACTTTCACTTCTATGTAAGTTCCCCTCAGGTTTTCTCCTTTTCTCCTTTGCCTTCAAGCCCACAACTGCCAAACTCGAGGCAGCAAGCCAGCAGACCTCATCTTTAAGGAGAGGTGAGCTGGAGTTTGACCCTGAGGTTAGAAGATGGAGGAACATCTCTCTGGTGGGGGTGGGGTATGGGCTGAAGCATGGGCACTGATGGGTTTGCCTTAAACTGGTCACAGAGGTTTTCCTCCACCAGGTGTTTTGTTTTAGCAAAGACAGCTTGTTGGTATTTCCACTAGTTTTCTACCCAGGTGAGGCCAGATTAGTAACAGCTGACACCTGGCATAGATGCGTGTCAAGTTGTAGCTTCATAGCTCAAGACTAATTAAGGGATCAGTCTACATTGCCATCTTGGGTTATTTCAGGGTCATAGGTGCTGAGGTTGAGGGTAAGTACCTTCCTGCAGGAGAATGGATGGAAGTGGGTGTCCTCGAGCAGGTCCACGCTCCCTTGTGGATGGAGAACAGCTTTTGTGAGCTGAAGTGACACTATGAGTTGTCAGACTTCAGGGAGGGAAGTTTGACATTGTGAAACTAAAACATTAGAAACAACTAACAGTTCCACTTACAAGAATTTAAGGAAATAAATCAGGCAATTGCAAAATAGATAAAGGAACAAAGATCATTTTATGATAGTAATAAGATACCGAAAAGGATTCAGATGTCTAATGGGGGTGGCTTTAAAAAAAAATCAAAGGGTAAACCATATAATTGGAAATTATGCTGCTAGAAATATGATGGTGTAACTGTGGATATGTTGACATGGGAAAATAGATATATTACTACATGAAAAAACAGACCATAACACAGTATGTAGCACATGATTCCATTTTTATAAAAAAAAATTCATATGACTATATTTGTCTAGGAAAATTCTAGATTATTCACCAAGATGCTTGGAGTAGTTATATGTGGAAGATAGATTGTCAAATAATTTACATTTAATTGTTTTCCCTGTATGTGGTGAAGATAGGAAAGGATTCATCCCCTTTTCAGGCTTGCCTTTTAGGGATGGACCTGTGGGTACTGGGCTTAATAGTCTAAACATGTTTAAAAAGGAACTTTTTTGTGTGTGTGTCCGGGGTGGGGGGGGGATCCTCGCCGGCAGCTGGGGAACGAGCCAGCGCCGCAGAGGCTGCAGACAGCCTCGCAGCCCAGCGCTCAACCACTGCGCCACCAGGGGAGGCCCCCCAAAAAGGAACTTTCTAAAACTATTTTCTTACTAAGACAGCTGAACTTTTCTTGGAATGCTAGATAAAACCTAGAAATTTGCAGGTAGCACTAGCATTGGGCCACTAAGCTTGGAAGGCCGTGTGGACAAAAGGGTGATATTTCTTATGTGGCATATGCATATATGCTTTGGATTTTGTATAGCATATACCAGCAGTGTATGTGGTTAGCAGCAGTTCCTTGTAGACTTTTTTTTTTAAAGATTTATTTATTCATGCATACAAGAGCTGGGGTACAGGCCAGAGGTGTGAGGGATGAGACGATTCACCAGAGACAGAGTGGGGAACAGAACAGGCAGCTTGACTGCAGTACACTGCTGAGGGGAGCAGCGGGCGGGCGATCAGGAGAGGTCTGCTGCGCCATGTGGGTTGCTCCCTGGCCAGCCGGGGATCGAACTCGTGCTGCAGAGGCTGCGAATTGCTTCATAGTGCATTGTTTAACCCCTTGCGCCACCAAGGAGGCCCCTTGTAGACATTTTTTTTTACATTTTTTTCCTTATATGAGAAAAAATTTCCATTCTTTATGTGAGTCTTTCCAGATAAACTCTGATGACTAATATTTTGAGAAATACTGCACTTTAAGAAAGCTTTGATTAGCTATTTAAGGATAAAACTTGATCAGTTTTTTGAAAGTATAACTCATTGCTTGAGACCTGGACCTTTGAGGAGGTCTGCTGGCTGCCTCAGCTTTGCTGACTTCTGAACATTGAAAGGCTTCTTGAGGTTTGCCAAGGTAGGCTTGGGAGCACCCACATATATAGTTCTCATTTGAGGAATGCTCTGCTGCTTGAAGTAGTTACTGTTACACAACAGTCCCCTGGGTTACATAAATCCAAGGATAGAAAAAAGTAATTGATCCATCATTAAGTTAAATGAGGGTTTCTCAGCCATGGCACTGTTGACATTCTAGGTTGTAGAGGATACCCGGTGCATTGTTTAGCAGCATCTGTGGCCTCTCCCCACTCGATGACTGTAGCACCTCCCCCAGCCAGATTGGACAACTAAAATTGTCACAGACATTGCCCAACATTCCCTTGAGCCACACAGTTGCACCTGATTGAGAACCACTAAATTTGATCCTCAATAAGTTTGAAGAAACAGGGCCTAAACTATTTTGTTAGTCTTTTCTATAGACTGAAAGATTTGGGAGTGTTTCTTATGACCTTTGTCCCATTAGTGTCCTCCTTGAAACTGTTCCAAACATACTCTACCTCTGTGGGGCTGACAGTGCACTGTGAGGACCCAGGAAGGCCTATTGCCTGAAATGTGGGCTTTTTAAATATTGAAATGTAGTTCACATACCATAAAATTCATTCTTTTAATGTGTGCAGGTTTTAGTATAGTCACAAAGTGGTGCATCTGTCACCACTCTAATTCTAGAACATACATGTCCCCCAAAAGGAATATATTAGCAGTCACTTACCATCCTCCCCAGCTCCTAGCAATCACTAATCTATTTTGTCTCTATGAATTTATTCTACACATTTCATATAAAGGGAATCTTACAATAAAAAGAATCTTACAGAAAAAAAGTCCTTTGTGACTTTTTTCAATTAGCATATGTTCAAGGTTCATTCATATTATAGCATAAATCAGTATTTTTGTCCTAAGTGATATTGTATTGTTTATCCATCTGCATTTTATCTATCCATCAGTTGATGGACATTTGGGTTGTTTCCACTTTTTTTTTTTTTTAAAGATTTTGTTTGTTTATACAAGACCTGGGGTACAGGTCAGAGGCACGGGAGCCTGAGAGAATTCACCAGAGACAGAGCAGGGAGCAGAACAGGCAGACCAAAGACACTGCTGAGGGGAGCAGCAGACAAGGCAGGAGAGGTCTGCCGCCCCATGTGGGTTTCTCCCTGCCTGGCCGGGAATCGAACTTGCGTGGCAGAGGCTGCGGATAGCTTCACAGTGCGGTGCTCAACTCACTGTGCCACCAGGGAGGCCCTGTTTCCACTTTTTGGCTATTAGGAATAGTGCTGCTATGAATGTTCATATACAAGTTCACATGTGGACAGGTTTTCATTTCTGTTGGGTATATACTAGGGGTGGGATTGTTGGGTCATATGGTAACTTTAACATTTTGTGAACATTTTTTCCATAGTGGCTGTACCATTTTACTTTCTGAGAAGCAATGTGTAGATGCTCATCTCCCAATAACCTTGGCAACTCTTGCTACTATCCATTTTTTTTTTTAAGATTTTTTTATTTATGCAAGAACTGGGGTACCGACCAGATGTGCTAGAGGGTGAGAGGATTCACCAGAGACAGAACAGGCAGACTGACTGAAATACACTGCTGAGGGGAGCAGCGGGCGAGACAGGAGAGGTTTGCCACGCCATGTGGGTTGCTCCGGGGCTGGCGGGGATCAAACCAGCACCGCAGAGGCTGCGGACAGCTTCACAGCACTGCGCTCAACCGCCTGCGCACCACGGAGGCCCACTATCCGTTTTTTTAGAGCCATCCTTGTGGGTATGATGTGGTATCTAATGGTTTTGATTTGCATTTCCCTAATGACTAATGATGTTGAGCCTCTTCCACTCATATGCATATGTTTGGAAAAGTATATTCAAATCCTTTGCCTTTTTGAAAATTAGATTACTTGTCTTGTGTTTTGAGTTGTAGGAATTCCTTATATACTTTGGATATAAACACTTACCAGAAATGTGACATGTAAATATTTTCTCCTGTTGTAGAGAATGTTTTCATTTTCTTGATAGTGTCCTTTAAAACACAAAAGTTTTAAATTTTGATGAAGTTTAATTTATCTAGCTTTTTCATTGGTTGCTTGTGTTTTTGGTGTCATATCTAAGAAACTATTAACCTGTTCAAGGTCACAATTATTTACAGCTATGTTTTTTCCTAAGAATTTTATAGTTTTAGCTCTTCTATTAGGTCTTTGGTCCATTTCTAGTTAATTCTTTTATATGGTATAATATTTATATATGGTATAAGGCTTATGGGTCCAACTTCATTTGCAGTGTGGATTTCAGTGACAAGGGAAGAAAGCACCACTTTTCTTCAGTCAACTCTGAGATGGTGTGGGGCAGGAGGGCTGTACAGCCCTGGGCACACCCCAGCACCAATTACTGTGCTATTTCTCTGAGTGGCTACACCCTGATACTTCTTGAGGGTGGAAGACCTCATCCTCCCTAGTGGATAGGTTTTAGAAGTCTATGAAGTTAAATTTCAGCATACCATTCTGCTTCCCAGCAGTTTATCCCAAGTCACTTGTTGAACCTCTCTGTGTCCAGTTCCTCTTCTGTGAACTGGAAGGTGATGACCCCAGGCCCTTGGAAGAAAAGTGCAGTGGAGGTTAAAGGACTGAAAAGTGATGAGCCCATGACGGAGGGCTTACTAGGTGCCAGGCAGTATTGACTCTCCTAGTAAGGTGGTGTCCTGAAAATTTATATAATTTTTTGTTTTAAAACCAATCGGTTAGGGGCCTCCCCAGTGGCGCAGCGGTTGAGCGCTGGGTTGCGAAGCTGCCCGCAGCATCTGCGGCGCCGGTTCGATCCCCCGGCTGCTCCCCGGCCACCGGAGGAGGGTCCCACATGGCGCACAGACCTCTCCTGCCGCCCGCTGCTCCCCTCAGCAGTGTACTTCGGTCCTTCTGCCTGCTTTGCTCCCCGCTCTGGCTCTGGTGAATTCTCTCACCCTCCCGTGCTTCTGACTGTACACAGTGCATGTATAAACAAAAACAAACAAACAAATAAATAAATAAGCATGCCTCTATTAAAAAAAAAAAATTAAAAAAAAATTAAATAAAACCAATCGGTTAGAACAAAGAAAGATGGCTTTTGAAATTTGAAATCAGAAGCTAGGGTGGAACTGTTGACCATATTAATGTTGTCCTTAGCATTCCATTTATTTCCAGCATTTGTTTTAGTTGAAGAATACCAAGGGAGTAAATGATAGCAGATTTTTTCACAACTTACAGTCTTAGAGCTCTGTTCGGTTAAAGAGGTTTGAATCCCTTCAGTGCAGAATTTCCTCTTCAAATCTGGCATAACTGACACCTGCTAGATTGCCCCAGTCAGACAGGTACCCTCAACTTTAGTGTGTATGTAAACAATACAGTGCTGTGTAACTGGTTGCCTTGTTAATGCCTTGTGACAAGCAATCTACTTGAGTTTGTGCCAAGCGGAAGTGTTAGGCTGGTCTGTGTTTGGGGTGTACATGCTTGGGGTACCTCACGTGCAGACATGCTTTGTCAGAATGTTAGTTGCTAGACCACGCCCTTACTAGTCCACAGCATTGTGTGCAAATCAAACCTGCTGCACAACAGCACTTGATCCTAGCAGGTAGCTGATTGGGATGGTGGCATAGTTTTTAAACACAGCTACTATTTTTTTTAATTGAAATTGTTATTGAGGTATAAGGAATATTTTTTTTTATAATCAAACTTATGGCACCCTAAAGTACTGCAATCCCTCCTTCAGCATAGATTGAGGTGAATGTCCCCACAACTGACCTATCAGCAGCACCTGTAGCAGCTTAGTCGGGGGGATACTGAGACCCCACAACCCACTTCTGGCCCCAGGAGAAAACCTGACCTTGCATATCTATTCTGCAACCAGGTCTATAGTTTAACCAGAACATTCTCTGAGGAGTCAGACAAAATGTTTCTCTGAGGAGAACAATGCCTAGATTTGGGGGCTGAGGCATTTCTTAGTTCCTCTGATTATGAACCTCCCAAGGTAAAGATCAGCCTGGGAAATTAAATTGATAGTGTCACAACAGCACACTTCCTGTGCCCTAAAGAGCTGGATAGGATTTGTTATTTAGTTGTATTTCTTAGATTGCTGAGAAGTAAAAAAAAAGTGCTCTCTGTTTACCAAGAGCTCTTGGCCCTGACTAATGCTCCCAGTTTTATGTGGTTTCCAGACATTCCAGCCCTCTCCCCTTAGCCTGGGGTGGTTCTTCTCCAAGTTCTTTCTGGATTGATGCCAGCTGCCTGAATCAGTGACATTTTGAGGGTGAAGGCTGTTAAGGGTCTGGTGATCAGGCAGAAAGCCCTTTTCATGTGAGACCTAGGGGCCTCAGTGTCAGTAATTCAGACCTATGGGAGAGGTTCAGGAGCCACTCTCTGGGAGTTGAGAGGGCGTGTAGACTGGCAGCTCCTGGGAGCTGTCCAGGAATCTGTATCTTTCAAGGCTTTCCAGCCAACTTTGGCTGCAGGGAGGATGGGGAACTACTGATTTCTAGTCAAAAATTTGATTTTTCAAAACTGTCAGTGGAGAGACAAGCATTTGAGTCATTTGAAATTCTTCACAGCAATCAAGGAAAATGTGATTGAACTTAAGTTGTTGCAAGACTCCATAGTTGAACTTCAGAGTGAACTGTGACCTGATAACTTCTCACAAATTGGAGCCTCTCCTGCTCAGAGCCTGCTTTGGACCTCTGGTGATCTTTGGCATTTGACCCTGCATTTGTCAAACTGAGCTCTTTAATACTGGGGCTGCCTTTGCTCACTTTCCTCTCTAGTTTTTTGTCCATTTGTGAGGGGAAGAGGGAGTTACTCTTTTTTTTTATGCATACAAGAGCTGGGGTACAGGCCAGAGGTGTGGGGGGGTGAGAGGATTCACTAGAGACAGAGTGGGGAACAGAACAGGCAGATTGACGGAAGTACACTGCTGAGGGGAGCAGCGGGCGGGCCATCAGGAGAGGTCTGCTGCGCCATGTGGGTTGCTCCGTGGCTGGCTGGGGGATCGAACTCGTGCTGCAGTGGCTGCGGACAGCTTCATAGTTTGTGTCTTAACCCCTTGCGCCACCCGGGAGGCCCCAAGAAGAGGGAGTTATTCTCACGTACTACCTAAATAATTTCAAGCAGATTAAATAAATAGACACATTAAAAAAAGAAATAGGCCCATTTTTAAAAGATACAATTAAAGTAGTAAGAGAAAAAAATGGGAATTTTTATAATCTTGGGCTGGGAAAATCACAAAGGAGAAAAATCACAGGTTAAACAGTGTAAACTGGGGCCTCCCTGGCAGCTCAAAGTGTTAAGCACCGCACTATGAAGCAATCCACAGCCTCTGCAGTGTGAGTTCGATCGCCAGCTGGTCTGGGAGAAACCCACATGGTGCAGCAGACCTCTCCTGTCTCGCCCGCTGCTCCCCTCAGCAGTGTATTTCAGTCAGTCTGCCTGTTCTGTTGCCTACTCTGTCTCTAGTGAATCCCCTCACCCCCTGCATCTCTGGCCTGTACCCCAGCTCTTGGATGCATAAATAAATCTTTAAAAAATAAAAAAATAAACAGCGTAAACTGAAAATCCTCTCAAGTCTGGAAAGCTTCTGTGACAGAAGGTAAAAGGCATAAACAGACAGGGAACATATTTGTATAAGCAGCCTTTAAAATAGCCATTATAGGGCCTCCCCGGTGGCGCAGCGGTTGAGCGCTGGGTTGCGAAGCTGCGCGCGGCCTCTGCGGCGCCGGTTCGATCCCCGGCTGCTCCCCGGCCACCGGAGGAGGGTCCCACATGGCGTGCAGACCTCTCCTGCCGCCCGCTGCTCCCCTCAGCAGTGTACTTCAGTCCTTCTGCCTGTTCTGCTCCCCGCTCTGGCTCTGGTGAATTCTCTCACCCTCCCGCGCTTCTGACTGTACCCAGTGCATGTATAAATAAAACAAACAAACCAGCAAACAAATAAATAAAAAAGCATGCCTCTATTAAAAAAAAATAAAAATAAAATAGCCATTATATATAAAAGAGACAAACAACAAAAGAGAAAAACAGGAAAAGGACACCTTGTCTTCTGCACCTGGTGCTGCTCAAGTCCCATAAACATGTGAATGGCGTGTCCTTGTGGCGGGGATGTTCCTGTGAGCAACAGGCCATTGTGCAGCCTCCATCTGGACCTGTTTATGGAAAGTCCTTTTGGCTGCCATTTGTCAGTTAAAATTCTAAGCTGTGGATATGGGGCCCTTCTAACCCCACGATTACATCACTGAAGTGCTGAAGCAGCTGGGTGTGTACAGAGGCCAAATGCAGGAGAGTGTGGCATTGCTAGTTTCTAGCCAGATAAAAGTGGAGGTTAACAGTACCTCTCCACCTCCGTTTGCTCATCTGTGAAACAGAGTTCAAAATAACCTGTTGTTCACATAGGATATTGGGATTGAGTGAGCCAATGTATCGTAAGTGCGCAGTTAACCCAGTGAGGAGTAAGGTACCAGCACCTCAGCTATTAACAGGACTGAAGGCTTATCCTTGCCACGTCTCCTTTAACACATGGTTCTAAAAGGAAATCCTTTCCTAACCTCTTTCCAATGACCCTGGGTGATATTGTTGCAAGACTTGATGGATGAGCACAGGAAGAGAACAAGTGTTCATGCTTTCCTAAGATACTTTTGGAACAGAAAAAAAAGAACTGGTTACTCTTGGAGAGGGTTGATTCTGGGAGGTCCATTATTTCGGCGGAATAATGGGCACCTCTTTTCTGGAAGAAACAGGACTCTACCATGCCTTCTCCTGGGATCTCTCAGGACTAGTTTGGATTGCTGTTGATTGTCCAGCAACCCTTAACATAGCCAAGCCTTGCCAGCCTCCTGGGGCTTGTGTTTTCAGCCAGTGCCCATATGTTTGTGGAATTGGGGCACAAGTCTACTTTCCATTCTCCTTTTGAGGAGTCGTTTCAAATATAGTCCACATAACTGGGACTCTTTAGTTTCCCTTTCTAAATACCTTGGTTCATTGTTGGTTTATTCTTCTCTGCCCCCCCCCCCCCACACACACACACATACACACTTTTGAGAGCTGGAATTACCACAGCAGAAAGGGTAGAGGTAGATAGCAGGGAATGTGCCACATCCCAGTGACTGGGGGATAGACAGACTTTCTAACTGCTGGTTCTGTTTACTCTGCAGGAGATAAATGGCATCACTGCGGCACTGGCTGAGGAGCTCTTTGAAAAAGGTATGTGGCCAGGTATCGTGAAATACTGGGTGCAACTTGCTCACCCAGTTAAGCTGTCAAGAGTCCAAGGTGGCAGAGAACTCTATCTGTTGTGCTGTGCAAAGTGAGTCCTTGCTAGGGCCCACCTCCCTGGTGTTGCCCAAATCCCTGGACTGGTCTTTAGCCAAACCTACCAGCTTTGTAGGCAGCTAGTTCTGAGGAGCTGTGGTCCTTCACTTTAAGATTCTTGAGCCCCATGTTCAAGGCTAACCCCAGGCTCAGATTTAACTCCAAAGCTAATGGTAGAATTCTGGAAGATGTGTGGCCTGCTAGCCTCTTGCCTCTCCCTTGTCCTTAGCTGAAAGGGTTCAGATGGCGGGCCTTCCTGGTGGCGCTGGAGGTTGGGATGCAGCCTATGAGGCTGTCCAAAGCCACTGCAGCTCGAGTTCGATCCCCGGCCAGGGAGGAGCCCACGTGGCACCACAGACCTCTCCTGGCTTGCCCACTGCGCCCCTCAGCAGTGTCCTTCGGTCAGTTTGCCTGTTCTGTTCCCCACTCTGTCTCTGGTGAATCCTCTCACCCCCAACACCTCTGGCCTGTACCCCAGCTCTTGTGTGCATGAATAAATAAATCTTTAAAAAAAAAAAAAGAAAAAGAAAAAGAAAAAGGGTTCAAATGGCAAGCAGAAGCCATCCACAGGTCTGGGCCCTGGCAGAGAGCACAGTAATGGTTGCTAATTTGTAATGGTCCAGTCCTGTGTTTGGCATCTTACTACTTTCCTCCCAAGAGATACAGGGGAGAATACTGAGTAACTAGGAGCCTCCTTGAGGGTTCATGGCAGGAAGAAGCAGGGCAGGGACCAAATGCCAGTCTGTCTGGCTCAGATTTCCTGCTGACCTCAGAGAATTTAACCTCCAGATATGTAGCCCATGGAGATTACAGTGTGTCTCCATTACCTACTGTGCAACCTCACATCAGCCTTACCCTGGCCTGGTGCCTCAGATCTGGACTTAGCCTCACCTCAGGGAGGCTCACCGTCTGCACATTCCCACGGCCCTTCCCTCCTTTGTAATCCTGTACCCAGGGTCTGCCCTGTGTCCAGTGTGAGCTCAGGAGGACAACTGCTACTGCACGCTCAGGTCATGGCCCCATCCTGATGCTGTGCCGTGCACATATGGGTGCTTCTTAACTGTTGGCCAGATGGGCAGATCCCCTGGCCAGGGCTGGGGCTGTCGCTCACCTTATGGGACATGGCTGTTGCAGGAGAACAGCTTCTGGGGGCTGGCGAGGTCTTTGCCATTGGACCCCTGCAGCTGTATGCCGTCACAGAGCAGCTACGGCAGGGAAAGCCCACATGCGCCAGCGGAGACGCCAAGACTGACCTCGGGCACATCCTGGATTTCACCTGTCGCCTTAAGTACCTTAAGGTAAAGCTGCAGCAGCCCAGTCATGAGAGCCCCTCAGTGTGAGCATGTAGCCAGCGGGGTCCAATAGCTCACTGCCAGGTAGTGTGTGTGAAAGAGACTCTGGGCCAACTGGGGAAGGAACACCTTTGGTGTTCTTGGTACTGTGATTCTGACTTTGAGCACTAGGGGGCAGTCATGACCCTATGTCCCCTTGCTTTAAACCTCAGCTTTAGCCTGCTTTGTTAACCACGGAAGTGGTGAGTGGGGGTACTTCACATAGCCAAGCAAAGATTCTAGTGGGGTTTTGCACTATCCAATGATAGTAGATGGGGACAGCTTGCAACAGCATTCTAATTTGAGCTGTATCTGTGGCTGTAGGTTTCTGGCACAGAAGGACCTTTGGGGACCAGCAACATTCGGGAGCAGCTCCTGCCTTTTGATCTGTCAATATTCAAGTCTCTTCACCAGGTGGAGGTAAGGTCAGAGCCACTGGAGTACAGTCAGGGCTGAGCCCGCACAGGCATGTGACTATCCTACTAGGGAATATTGTTGATGTCAGATGTCTGGGTTTAATCATAAGGTGGCTGTTGCTTTTGAGTTTGACAGTATATGGCATCTAGGTAAGTCAGGCCCATCTGAAGGCAGAGAAAGGTCTCAATTCTTGACTGGTCTGTGTGTCTCCACTCCTGACTTAAACAGCTTTTGGACAGGATGGATCACCAGGGCTGGTTCCTGCTGGGTATTCTTGTTTGAGTTGCAGTCTAGGAAGCCATCCTGAGGATCGGGTAGAGCTAGTTCCAAGTCTGTGTTTCCCAAGGCAGATCAGCAAAGGGCTTTGAGAGTTCTGCTCTCTGTGTGCCCACACCTCAAGAAAAACTTTGCGTTGCTCATTGCTGAACTCTTCTGGGTTCACAGCTTTGGTACCATTTTTAAAAACAAAAGGGGATTCAATTATGTTTTAAAGCACCTTTCTTGGGCCTCCCCTGGTGGTGCAGCAGTTGAGCGCTGGATTGCGAGGCTGCCCTCACCCTCTGCAATGCCAGTTCAATCCCCAGCCACCGGCAAGGGTCCCACACACACACAAAAAAAGCATCTTTCTTGAGCTTGGCTTTTGTGTTCAGCCCTTTGTCTGATGTCCACTCCTTCATGAAATCATCCCATCATCACTATGAAGTTAGCACTTCTTTTCCCATTTTACAGTGGAGGAAACTGAGGCTTAGGGCATTAAGACAGGAAGTTTGGCCAGAATAACAGTTACTGAGAAAGCCAGGGTCTGAATTCAGCCAATTCCAACTTCTGCTACCTTTTGAACTGGTCTGCCGAAAGCATACTGGGCTGGTCTTACAGACCTTGAGGACCATTTCCTTTGATGTGAGCTTGTGGTGTGTGCCTTGAGTGGTGCAGGCCAAGTAAGGACTAGTAGGTTAGAGCAGTGCCCTACCCAGCCCTGACTCAGCTGGCTGAGGCTTGGAGTCTGTGGGTATATAAAACCCTGGAGAGTGCTTTGACTATACCCCTCCATCACTCAGTGCAGGACAGCTGAGGCCAGTGAACTGGGGCTGAGTGAGCAGGAAAGACCACCACATTAGCGGTGTGGCGGAAGCCCCTTGCTCTCCAGAGCCTATGTTTTCTGTCTCCCTATCTAGCCCCCAAGAAGCAGGGAACATGGGGTTCACAGTTCATTGTGAGAGAATGTTTAGTCAGCTCTAACAGTGGGGACAAAGACTTAAAAGTTTGAGTTGCCTTCTGTCTGTAAGGGTTTGGGCTCATCAGTGGTTGTGTTCTTTTTATGTATGGATGACAAACACCCACTTCCTGGGACTGCTAATGGAGCAAAGATAATGTTTCTGAGATGCAGTTTTTCCTTGTTACAGATAAGTCACTGTGATGCTAAGCACATTTGTGGGCTGGTGGCATCAAAGCCCACCTTAGCCACCATGAGCGTCCGCTTCTCTGCAACCTCAATGAAGGTCAGTGCTACTTGTTTCCCACCCAGGGCTGTCTGCTGGGCAGGGCCCTACACTGATCCTGCCCCACCCCCACCTGTCTGCCAGAAACCAGACCTGCTTCTGGGTAGATAAACTCAAGTGGGACCTCCTGGCCTGTCGCAGCCATGAGATACTGTAGTCTGTGTCTTCATCAAAAATCTACACTGTTTGGTTCCCCTGTATTCCTTCTATAAGTTGAAACCAAATAAGGGATCTGGGGAAAAAAATAATAAACAAACTAGGGCCTCCCTGGTGGCACAGCGGTTGAGCACTGGGCTGCGAAACTGCCCGCAGCCTCTGCGGCACCAGTTCGATCCCCAGCCTCCGGCAAGGGTCTCACATGGCATGTAGACCTCTCCTGCCGCACCCGCTGCTCCCCTCAGCAGTGAATTTCGTCAGTCTGCCCGTTCTGCTCCCCGCTCTGGCTCTGGTGAATTCTCTCACCCTCCCGCGCTTCTGACTGTACCAGTGCTTGTATAAATAAATAAATAAATCTTTTTTAAAAAAAAAAACTATCAGGCAATCATAAATGAAAGATAATTCTGTGAGGGAGGGGGAGGAAAAGGGTTCAAAATGGGAGAGAAGAGCACAAGGGACTATGGTAAGGTTCACGGGTGAATTGGTGGGGAATACACAGTGATGTAAGAGATATGAATAAAAGTCTATATATTTTTTAAAAAATCTACACTGTTTAATGATACTTTAGGGAACTCTTCTCTTCCCTCTCCCCGCCCCCCGAAGTCACTGGATTTTGATGAGCAAATTGTTATTCAGTGGCAAGTGGCAGGATGTTTATCAGAGTGGTTAATGTAAATGTTTCTCTAAGCTAAAAAAGCTTTGGCTTCACATTTGCTTGCATCTTATTCTCAGTAGAGCCGCCAGGGCATGGGGTGAGGTGGTGGATACGCCAGGCTCTTTGTACGTCAGCAACTGAAATTCTGAAATTGAGAATAAAAGAGGTTTCTATTTGCCTTTTTTTGGATTGTTTAATAGTAATGATAAAATCCTTCTCCAGGTAAAGGAAAAGCATAGCAGTTACTTTAATTTTTTATTTTATTTTTTTCCATAGTGTATAGTTTCATGACTTAAAATGTCTGATCCACACTGGAGTTTGATGGAAATTCTCTTCTGGTTATTGACTGAAAGAAGGAGGTTTATCTAGAACAAGGATATAGAGAGTCTGTCCCCATCGAGGGACCTGAATGGTCCTTTGAGAAAGGAGAAGTCTTTGGGGTCTGAAAAGTCAAGTGAGGAGGCTTGCCTGCCTCCTTTCCAATTGTGTCCCTGCGCTCTGTGCTGCTATCTTTATCTTGGCATTGTTGAAGTTTATCCTTGTGAAATAATGGTTAAAAAGGCCGCCTGCTCATTGTGGGGACCGCTGTGCCAAGTGTAGTTGCCTGGAGACGCTATGAATTCTGACCTCAGTCTCTCAGATTTAGGCCAGAAAAGGCATCACCATATTGCTTTTTTTTTTTTTTTTTTTGCTGTCTGGACTTTGTGGGCTTGAAAAGCATTTGCTCCTGAAGCAGGACCAAAATATATTCCAAGTGGTGGTTATGTTGCTGAGCTTTTCATTTATTTCACAATCATTTGAAGACGTATGAAGCCCCATTTAAATGCAAGTCCACTTCCACATGCTAAATATGCTCAAGCCCTTCCTGAAATTTTGCAATGATTGTACTGCCAATGAGTGTTGCGTGAGGGCCCAAGAGTGTGCTCAACAGATGTTCTTATACAGGAAGTCCTTGTTCCTGAAGCCTCGGAATTTGATGAGTGGGAGCCAGAAGGCACAGCCCTAGAAGGCCCTGTGACTGCCATCATCCCCACGTGGCAAGCATTGACCACTCTGGACCTGAGCCACAACAGCATCTCTGAGATTGATGAGTCTGTGGTATGATCTCAGCAGTGGGCCCCAGGGGCTTCTCTGGCCTGACCAAACCCTGAGGGTGGGTATTTAACCAGCCTTTTTCTAGAAGGACCATAGAAAACCTGTTTCTAGCGCTATGTGCATTGCCTGCAACTCCGAATGGAATTATTTAAATTAGATGAGATAGTGGTTAGAGCCAGTTGAATTACAGTAATTACAAATACATTTGACATATATCAAAAACAGTTAAGTGATAGAATCAACTCTCAGGTTGTGAAATGGAAAAACGCTTCTGTGGATTCCAGATGTGTAGTTCCTTTATTTGTGCTTCTTGGTGGTTGTAGGTAGGGTTGAAAAAGGATGGATTTATTCTCTGGGACCTTACTGTTTGTCATTTTCATGATCAAGTGTTCTGTAACAACACTGGGTCATGCTCTGCACTGTGTTCCTGTGAGCATGGTCCTGTGGGTGGTCACCCAGAGGTGTCACGTCAGCCACGCAGAAACGGCCAACCCAGGAGTCTCTGGTTGATAGAAAGTTCAAGGGTGTTCATCCACCAGACTCTCAGGTGTTTTCTTTTCTTTCACAAGAAACTGATTCCAAAGATTGAGTTCCTGGACCTGAGTCACAATGGAGTGCTGGTTGTGGACAATCTGCAGGTAATAAATGTCTTTGGAGACTGTTGCCACCTTGCAGGTGTCTTGTGAGGTCCTGTCCAATCTTCTGATTATTCAGAAGATTGACGCAGCCTTGGCAGTGTGGTCATACCCTGGGGTTTTCTTTCACAGGCACCCAGAGATGTCTGCACCTGAGGTTGTAGGGGCAGGGGCTGCTGCCATCCTTTAGGGTCCCAATGATGTACTAAGTGATAGTTGCTATAGCTCCAGAGAACTAGAAAATATTCATAAAAACACATTAAGAGTGATAAAGATGGTTCATTTCTGTCATGAAGATGCACAACCTCATTTTCAAAATGTACTTGTACCCTGTGGGTGGTCCTTCCTCTGCAGTGGGGGCTGAAGGTGGGTTTCTTTCCCAATTAACTATCAGGATGAATGGAAGCAACTGCAGAGCTAGTCATTTTAGGTTGGGAGACCCATGACATCGAAGTGTCATGGAAGTCGACCTGAACCACTTTTCCCTGTTCTCTATCCTGCTGTAGCACCTGTACAACCTTGTGCATCTAGACTTGTCTTATAACAAGCTGTCCACCTTGGAAGGGGTTCACACCAAATTGGGGAACATCAAGACTCTGAACTTGGCAGGCAACCACTTGGAGAGTCTGAGCAGCCTGCACAAACTCTATTCCCTGGTCAACCTGGATCTCAGCAACAATAGAATTGAACAGGTAAGCCACATCTCAGGGGGTCTCTAGGTTCTAGTTTGGGTGGCCTTAGTGTTAATCACCAAGGAGAATGATAAGCTTTGTTTTATTTTATCTTTTTTTGTTTGTTTTATTTTAAAGGGGTCATCAGGGCCTCCTGGTGGTGCAGGGGTTATAGTCTCAGTGCCATTAAGCTATCACCAGCCACTGCAGCATGAGTTTGATCCCTGGCTAGGGAGCTACCCACATGGCGCAGCAGACCTCTCCTGTCTTACCCGCTGCTCCCCTCAGCAGTGTATTTCAGTAGATCCGCTTTTTCTGCTCCCCACTCTGCCTCTGGTGAATCCTCTTCCCTCCCCCCACCTCTGGCCTATACCCCATTTCTTCTATGCATAAAAAAATGAATTTTTTTTTTAAAAGGTGGGGGCATCAAATATGTCCTGTTACTAAAGTGTTAAAATAAGGGATTTGGGACTGGAACTCATGCCTTGCAGATGGAAGAAGTCAAGTGCATAGGCAGCCTCCCGTGTCTGGAGCATGTAGCCCTGCTGAACAACCCTCTGAGTATCATTCCCGACTACAGGACCAAGGTGCTGGCTCAGTTTGGAGAGAGGGCCTCCGAGGTAAGCTGCTGGAGGTGGGGTGTCAGCTCTGTTAGACAGTCCAGACAATCCATGTTCACTCACGCAGAGCTGGGGAGTAATGCCTACTGTTCTGTGCTTGCCTGCTTCAGAAGAACGTCCATTCCCAAAATGCCTTTTAATTCTGGTTAGTCCTCTGCTCCCCAGGAAAAGACTTCCTTGTTCCTCCTGTTTCATCTTGGGGGTCACCAGCCACTGTTATCCCCAGTGGTCTTCCTTCATGTTACCTCTGTCACAGCTTCAGGCCAGGGGGCCTGTCCTCCAGTTTTTGAACAATAATGTTTATTGTAGGCAAGAGTCAAAAATAAGAGACTTTAATCACATTTCCTGGGCCATCTTTTGCCATAGACTACAAATCCAGAGGGTTTGCCCACCTTTGCCAGTATAGGTGTACCCATTATCTGCTGCCAGCTGAGTGAGTCTGGCCGCCTGTGCTGTGCCAACCGAGCAGGTTCTTAGCCAGGTTCAGTTTTTCAGTCTCGAGCAGGCCTGACTCCATTCTTTGCATGTTTTCCCCACCTTCCCACACTCCCCCTCCATCTCTTTTCAGCCCTGGGTGCCCCTTTCTCAATACTATCAAGACATTGTTGACGAGATATCATCTCTTCCCTTCCCTGTTCCAAACCTTGGGAGGCTCTCAGACCACATGTTGCAGTGTCAGCTCCTCTCCAGGCCCTGGAGATCAGCTTCCCTCATTAGACCACACTGACTACCAACCCCCAACTGCCAGGGACTCCTTGCCTGCTCCCCATGCCTTTGCCTTCCCAGTTCTCTGGCTCAGAAGCCTTCACTTGCTCTTTGCTGATTTGAGTTCTGCTGTAATTAGAGGCTCACCATCTTCCCCCAACCCCAGCCATCTAAGGGCCTTCTCAATGGACCCCAGACCCTCTACCTCCCCTTCTTGGAGAGGGACTCCCAGAGATAGACACTGCCCAGTGTGGAACCTCCCTGGGCTACCCTAAGAAACTCCCAGGTCACTTCCATGGATGGTGATGAGCTCAACTCCCAGTAGACTGTGAGGCTCCCGAGGTCGCCTGTGTCCTCACCAGGCCTAACCCACACCTTGGCACTTCCCATGTCATTCTGCTCCCACCATGCTTGCCAGCCCTGATGTTGATAGCTTTTATGGACTCCATAGGTCTGTCTGGACAACACAGCAACTACAGAGAAGGAGTTGGACACTGTGGAAGTGCTGAAAGCGATTCAGAAAGCCAAGGAAGTCAAGTCCAAATTGAACAACCCTGAGAAGAAGGTGGGTCTTTGTGTCAGAAGTGGGAGGAGCAGCCGTGAAGAGCTAGCTGAGGAAGGAGCTGACTCTAAGTGGAACTGGGCCTTGGGAGCATCCAGACCACTGAGTCCTGGCTACATCCTACTAAGGCTGCATGACCTTGGGCAAGTCATGCCACTTACTCTCATTGTAACATGGGGGTGGGCATAGTGATATTGCCTGCCACATGAGGGTACTGGGGATTAGGTGAGATCACCTTCACTGTCACCAATGCTTTGAAAACTGTTGAGTGTCTGTACTCATGTCCCTACCTATGACATCCTTCCTGACCTTTCTATTGCATACTCCTGGGCTGACTCGGCTGCTCTTCTTTAGGTCAGTGAGGATTCCCGGCTCTCAGCTGCTCCTTGTGTCAGACCCAGCAGCTCCCCTCCCACCATGGGTCCGAGCTCAGCCTCTCTGCCCCAGCCTATCCTCTCCAACCAAGGTAATCGTGTATGTGTGGTCTGTTTAGCAGAGCTGCAAAGCCCTGTTTGGGTCCCCTGACTGGGCTGGGTTGGGAACGGTACCAGCACCTTCTCTCTACAGGGCTCAGGGGCAGAGAGGGTGTGGTACTGTCTGCAGGCCAACTACTCTCGGGTGGCACACAAGGTTCCTGGCCTTGTTGTTGGCTTAATGTGGACCCCCAGTTGTTCTGAAGCCTACATCAAATTTCTTTGGGTGTCTAATGGGGCCCTGAGGCTACCTTTGACCAGGTTTGGGGCTGTTGGATCATGAGGTCCCCATTCCCCCACAGGCAGTATGAGCAGATTGGCTCCTTGTTTACAGGAAGTCAGGCTTTATTACTTCCTGAGTCAGGCACCCTGATCCCTATGTGGGAAGTTTTTTTTTTAATCATTGCCTTGTCTCTCTGTGGTTCTTGTGGTATGACCCAGCCCTCAAACACTGTTTGTGGGGCTACATGGGCCGTCCATGGACCCATGGAAGACCAATCCCTTTTACCTGCCCACTGTCTTAGCGTTTTCAAAGGGCTTTCACCTCTGAACCCAGGCATCCTCGGAGATGAGTGAGTGAAGCAGGTCCCATGAGAGTGTCTGCTGGCCTGGCCCCCACGGAAGAGGGGGAGGGTGTGCCGTCCCGAGTGGAGCCGAGGCTCGGGACACACAGGAAAGAACGCCGCCCGCCCGGGCTCCTGGAGATGCAGAACTTGGTGTGAGGTCTTGGGAAAACAGTTTGACCCTATGTTTCAAGAGCCAGAAAAACGTTCCCACCCCTTGACCTGGTAACCCCACTGGTGGGGATTTTATCTTAGTGGGATAAAATAACGGGAAAGGGAGGGGAAATGCTCCCCGCAGCATTATTTATGCTAGCAAAACATAGGATGCGGCCAACGGCAGGCTGAGAGGAAGATTAAGCCCTGGTACAGAATGCTGCAACCATCACATGTGAGAGAGGGACACTTGGTAGGAAGAAAAGAGAGGACGAGCTGGTTGGAAGAAGAGAGGAACTCAGGTTAAGTCAGAAAGCCCAGTCAGGACAACCCACCAGCTTGTGACTCTGTGCTGCAGAGTCGTGAGAGTGGAGCAGTGCTGTTAGCTGTCAGAGTGTGATTCTTGATTTGTTTTTGTTACATTCTTGGCTGAGAATTTTTGGTGTTTTTTTTTTTTTTTTAATGTACAAGGGTAGAGGAGTTTATATTGTTGTGAGGAAACCTCCCTGATGCTGCCTCCTGCTGTGGGGCAAAAGCCCTTTTTGGTAGCCCACAGCACTGGTGAGCCAGCAGGGAGCTGCAGGGCTAGGCTGCTGGGGGACAGGGTGCTGCTACAGCTGGTCCTCAAGGCCAGGGAGGGGGGTCTGCAGTCAACATTTGTGAAGTCGAATGAGTGAGTGTGTGAGTGAACACAAACTGGAGCAGCTGGTAAGGAAGAGACCACACAGGTGAAGAGGGTCTGTCCCCAAGGCCACAGCCACAGCCCATTGGTGTTGAGGCTTAGGCCTCAGTCCCCCATCCTCACCTTCACTCTGGGGGCTCGCCCGAGTGCTGCTCATTGTCTGTGTTCCCTTTCCCAGCTACTGGACATTTAGATGTTTCCAAATTTGCACTCTTATAAATAAACTGCAGTGGATGTCTTGGTGTGCACATCTCTTTCCTTTTTGTGAGAAACAACAAAGGTTGGGCCCCGGTGTCTGTACTCTCCCGATGTCCCCGTCCCATCCTGAGTGGCCCTTTCTGACCACTTGTTTGTACAGACCACAGTCCAGGAAGGAAGTGGAGAGACTGTCTCTATCCACATTTCCTCAGCATTCAAACAGGGCTGCGGGAGGAAGGGGTGAGAAAGTGTTGCTTTTTTCTTAATGTGGAGGGATCCACAGGTGTTTGTGTTTAATTTTGTGCTAGTGAGTCTTACCTGGAGGGGCAAGGATTTCTCCTGTATGTGAACAGCTTCCCTTCCAGCCTGATCCATAGACGGGAACCTACTTGTGAAAAAACTCAGCACTTGCGCCTGCCTGAAGGGGGCGATGTCCAGTGGATACCAGGTCTCTGATCATCAGAACTGTTAGCCAGCTTGTTGGAGCCTTGGAGGACTGTGACGCAGAGGGGCTGAGTGCAAAATGCCATGGTTGATTCTCTGGCCAGATCTGGGGCCTGAGGGGAAGCTGTAGAGAAGGGCTTAGGATTAGGCACCTGGGCTTAGGTGTGTCCCACCGTCCTTGGCCATGTACCCTCAAGGATTTGTAACCTCTCTGTTGCTGTTTTCTCAACTGTAAAATGGATACACCCTACTTCATCGATTCTAAGATGCACACATATCCACCTTGTGACTTCTCTGAAATTGAGATGCGTCTTTCAGTCAGTGGCGTCTCATAGTCGCTGTCAGCCAGCTGGTATTCCTGACGGAGTCGTGTGAAAACCTTCCGAGGACACCTTCTGCTAAGACCGAGATGGCGCCACATCCACGCATCTTAGATTTGATGAATTGTGGTAAATAAATGAGAGGCGCGCATGAGCTAATGCTGGGGAAGTGTTTAGTACTGCTCTCCTGGCTCATGAAGAGTGGTCGGTAAGGGTTTCCCTCTCCTGTGTCCTGAGTGGGTGGGGGGGGGGGCAGTTCACGATGACCAGGACAGTGCTGCTAAAGAACTTGGAGCCTCTTGGGGAATTGAGTTGTATGCCCAAGGTACAACAGTGCAGATTGATTCGGGGGCCTTGGTAAGAGGCAGAAGATTACATCCAGAGCAGAAAGGACTTTGTGGTGGAGATGGTGTTTGAGAGGACTCTTAAAGGATGAGTAGGAGAGGGCTGTATTGCAGGAGAGAGCAGCCGCACAGACAAAAGCCCAGGTTAGACCCCGCAGTGCGCTTCGTGCATGACTGCTTGCTGCCCTTGTTGCCTGTGCATAGCCCATGTTGCTTCACGCTGTGGGGGTGTCCGAACTCGGGTCCTGTGTCTGCCTAAACCGCGGACGGAGGACCTGGGCTAAGTGTATTGTCCTGTCCCTGCGCAGTGGCTGAGCTAGATGAGAGTCTGTGACCTCTGGGGCTTTGAGAGTTCTCAGTCATTTCATTGGGCTGTGGGGACTGTTTGGTGGTAAAGCCGGGTTGTGGAGGGAAACCCTGGGCTCCTCCAGACCTGCTAAACCACGGATTAATGCCCAGTGTTCACCAATCAAGTGCAGCTAAGAAGATGTTAAAAAAAAAAAAAAAAAAAAGACTTTACCCTCAATCAGTCTTGAAAATATCTGAAGTAACGGGCCCAGGTGTGCTGTATTCATCAATTTCAGCAGGGTTGAAACACCGTGTGCTTCCCGGGGTGCATGAGTCAGAGTGTGCTGTCCATGGGAAGTGGCCCGGGGAGGCTCACTGGGGTGTGTCCTGCAGGAAAGGTTATGGGTACTGGGTGTGGGTTGTCCTTGAAGCCCTCGAGGAAACAGGAATCTGCAAGAAGGGTCTTGCCCCGTTGTGTGTCTGCAAAACTCCTCAGAGATGTCAAATTGGGGAAGAAGCGCCCCTCTCTGTCCTTGCCCTGGGAGAAAGCACTAGCACTGAACACATTTAAGGCTCTTGATGGACATACTGCCAAACTGCTCTCCCAGCTCCCATGCCAGTGCCTGCCTCTGCCCAGTTAGGCCCAGTTCGAGCTGTATGATCAGTCTGACCTTTGCCAAAGTGAGAGACAAAACTGGTGTCTCGCTCCAACTTGCCCTTCTTTGATCATTTGTCAGGGTGAGCATTGTTGTTCCCTGTTACATCCGTTGGCCATCATTCTGTGCAGTGTCTTCTCATTTTTTTTTTTTTTTTTTTTTTTGCAATCTCCTGGAATTTTCTCCCCTCATTTTTTGGTATCTGTAAGAGCTGTTTGTAGATTAAAGATAAAGCCTTTGTTAGATATTACAAGCACTTTTTTTCTTGTTTCATTTCATTTTGATTTAGGTTTATCACTTAATAGTTTTATGTAGTCACATCTCAGTTTCTTCCTTTGCATCTATGCTCAGCTCTCACCCCTATCTTGAGATGAAATTAGCAGTCATTTGTTCTTCAAATTGTTCTAAGATTTCAGTTTTAACATTTTCTTCTATACTCCATGTCTGGGTTTGGAGGTCTGATTAGCCCCCAGCCATGCCAATAGCCCAAGGGCCCAGCCCGGATTGTTGAATGACTGCTTTCCCTGCCCCGCCTGCCCTACACCCCGCCCCCTGCCCCTGGTCTCTTCAGGAATCATGTTCGTGCAAGAGGAGGCCCTGGCCAGCAGCCTCTCATCCACCGACAGTCTGACTCCTGAGGACCGGCCCATCGCCGGGGGATGCTCTGATTCTTTGGAGTCCATCCCTGCAGGACAGGTAATGCCCTCCTCCTGTGTCTAGGGAGTGGTTAACTCTGCAACCAGAGGCTGGATGTCTGGCTGACTGGAAGCAGACGACCTGGCTGGAGTTAAGGCACGTGTTGCCAGTGCTTGGTACACTCTGCTTTTTGCTTAAGGGTCTATGCTCATTTCTTTTTCTCCTCTCTATTTCTGTTAATGGAAAAATTCTCTCTCACTGGGCACGGGGGCAAAACCAGATTACCTTTCGTCACTGTAAGCAGGCTCCCCTGGAGAAAGTAGTTCAGAAGACCTTGACCTTGTTTGGCTTCCAGAGCCATCAGGAACAGTGTCTCCTCTGTTACCTGGCACCCCAGGAACATTCTGCCCATGCCCTCATGTCTCACTGATAGTTGGGACACAGTGGAACCCCAGTACTTCCCTTTGTGACTGATGGTACCAAAATTGCTTCCTGTGTCCTGGGAGGAGAGAGGAGGAAGACAAGTATGGTGTGTGTGATTATTTGCTATGTGCTTAGTACCCCAGCCTCCCTCTAGCCCTGTCTATTCAGCAATAGGGTCATGGCCTTGTGACACAGGGGCAGTTTGCAGAGCCCTTACTCTGCCCAGCACTTCACAGCGCCACTTCCCTTCACCCACTGCAGGGTCACACAGTGGGAGGGAGGCTCCCAGCTCTAGGTCTTCCCTGTCATTTAGAGATCATTAGGAGAACTTACCTAGGCACTGCACAGCCTCCACTCTGCTGGCCATTTACCAAATCGGTCCACTGCCCGTGCGGGTCCTCTGGGATGGCACATGGAGCTCTCAGTGCAAGACACAGGTGCACAAACTGAACTGCAGAGTGACTGAGAGGCTCTGGCCCAGGGGTTGGAGCAGGGGCTGGAATCAGACAGACAGGTGGGAATCTCAGCTCTGCTGTGAACTGCCAGAATAGGTGAGTGTCTGCATCTCTAGGCCCCAGATCCCCAGAATGGTGCGTGAAGATGGTAAGGATGCTTTCACAGGACAGTGAGGAATGGTGATGTTCCCGGTCAGGGTCTTGCCCTTGGTAAATGCCAGGGAATGGCTGCAGCAGGTGAGGGCTGACTGCGTTTCCTTTTCTACCAGGCACCCTCTGATGAGTTAAGGGATGTGCCAGGAGCTGTTGGTGGTGCAAGGTAAGGGAGAAGTTGAGATGGAGTCCTGGGCCTTCATACATTCGTGGATAGCAGCAACCAATTGGAGTTTGTTAAAAATCAGTTCACAGGGCCTCTCCAGTGGCACAGCGGTTGAGCACTGGGTTGCGAAGCTGCCCGCAGCCTCTGCAGCGCTGGTTCTATCCTCAGCTGCTCCCCGGCCACCAGAGGAGGGTCCCGCATGGCGCGCAGACCTCTCCTGCCGCCCGCTGCTCCCCTCAGCAGTGTACTTCGGTCCTTCTGCCTGTTCTGCTCTCTGCTCTGGCTCTGGTGAATTCTCCCACCCTCCCGTGCTTCTGACTGTACCCAGTGCTTGTATAAATAAATAAATCTTTAAAAAAAAAAATCAGTTCACAGAATATCTCCAGAACTACTACTTTCTTTCTTTTTTTTTTTTAAAGAAGAATTTGGTTGCTTTTTTTTTTTTTTAAAGATTTATTTATTTATACAAGCACTGGGTGCAGTCAGAAGCACGGGAGGGTGAGAGAATTCACCAGAGCCAGAGTGGGAACAGAACAGGCAGACTGACGAAATACACTGCTGAGAGGAGCAGTGGGCGCAGCAGGAGAAGTCTGCGCACCATGTGGGATCGAACCAGCGCTGCAGGGGCTGTGGACAGTTTCACAGCGCTGCGCTCAACTGCCTGCGCCACCAGGGGACGGCCTCAACCATTCTTAAGAGCTGTTGGGCTTCCCTGATGGCACAGAGGGTTAAGCTTCAGCACTATGAAGCAATCCACAGCTGCTGCAGCACCAGTTCAATCCCCAGCCAGGGAGGGTACCCACATGGTACAGCAGACCTCTCCTGTCCCATCCTCTGCTCCCCTCAGCAGTGTATTTCAGTCAGTCTGCCTGTTCTGCTCCCCACTCTGTCTCTGGTGAATCCTCTCACCCCACTGCACCTCTGGCCTACACCCCAGATCTTGCATGCATAAATACATAAATCTTTAAAAAAAAAAAAAAAACTGTTCAAAAAATTGTGTGCATTGTCATTAAGGTGTCTTTCTCTCAATTCGGTTCTCTTACTGGGCCCTGAAAAGAGGGCTTGTTCAAACTGTTCTAGAGCCAATACCATAGACCAAAGACCTATAGTATTTATACAAGAGATTTCCCAGCCTTTTCCTGTATATGTTTTTTTCACAAGGGCAGTAGTGACCACGAGGAGCTTGAATTTAAATATAGGGACCAAAAAAATAAATGTAAGGTCCACCTAGCTCACCTTCCAACCCCCTCCCACCCTCCAAAGGCCACTGACCCTGAAGGGAACTCTTGTCAACAGATGAGTGCCTGCTTTTGTACACTCATTGCTTTTGGAGTTCTGTGCCAGTATCTGAATGACAGAAATCTTTGTTCCACTTAGGTTGGGCTAGGCAGTGTGGTGTGGACAGGACTGCATTAGTTGCCTGGGATCTGAGCCCCGAATGTAGACTCCAGTTAAACTGTTAGCCCCAGCATTGTGACTACTGAGCACCCCACCTGGGAGCAAGCTCAGCTGATCTGGGAGGTTTGGGAGACCCATGGCTTGGTTCCTTGGTGCAGGCAGGAATCTCTGGATATGGAAGTCAGGTGTCTCAGTCCAGCATGTCACTAATCTGGCCTCTCCTCACACAGCCCAGACCAGGCAGAGCCGGAAGTCCAGGTGGTGCCTGGCTCTGGCCAGATCATCTTCCTGCCCTTTACCTGCATTGGCTACACCGCCACTAACCAGGACTTCATCCAGCGCCTGAGCACGCTCATCCGGCAGGCCATCGAGCGGCAGCTCCCCGCCTGGATTGAGGCTGCCAACCAGCGAGAAGAGGGTCAAGGCGAGGAGGAGGAGGAGGAGGAGGAGGAGGAAGAGGAGGAGGAAGAGGAAGACATTGCTGAGAACCGCTACTTTGAAATGGGGCCTCCAGACATGGAAGAAGAAGAGGAGGGAGGCCGGGAGGAGGAGGAGGAGGAGGAGGAGGAGGAGGAGGAGGAGGGCGAGGAGGAGCGCCTGGCCCTGGAGTGGGCCCTAGGCGCAGACGAGGACTTCCTGCTGGAGCACATCCGCATCCTCAAGGTGCTGTGGTGCTTCCTGATCCACGTGCAGGGCAGCATCCGCCAGTTTGCCGCCTGCCTCGTGCTCACCGACTTTGGCATCGCTGTCTTCGAGATCCCACACCAGGAGTCTCGGGGCAGCAGCCAGCACATCCTCTCGTCCCTGCGCTTTGTCTTCTGCTTCCCGCACGGTGACCTCACAGAGTTTGGCTTCCTCATGCCAGAGCTGTGTCTGGTGCTCAAGGTGCGGCACAGCGAGAACACGCTCTTCATCATCTCTGATGCTGCCAACTTGCACGAGTTCCATGCTGACCTGCGCTCGTGCTTCGCCCCACAGCACATGGCCATGCTGTGTAGTCCCGTGCTCTATGGCAGCCACACCAGCCTGCAGGAGTTCCTTCGCCAGCTGCTCACCTTCTACAAGGTGGCAGGTGGTTGCCAGGAGCGTAGCCAGGGCTGCTTCCCCGTCTACCTGGTCTACAGCGACAAGCGCATGGTGCAGACGGCTGCTGGGGACTACTCGGGTAACATCGAGTGGGCCAGCTGCACGCTCTGCTCAGCTGTGCGGCGCTCCTGTTGTGCACCCTCCGAGGCTGTCAAGTCCGCTGCCATCCCCTACTGGCTGCTGCTCACACCCCAGCACCTCAACGTCATCAAAGCTGACTTCAACCCCATGCCCAACCGCGGCACCCACAACTGTCGCAACCGCAACAGCTTCAAGCTCAGCCGCGTGCCCCTCTCCACTGTGCTGCTCGACCCCACACGCAGCTGCACTCAGCCACGGGGTGCCTTTGCTGATGGCCATGTCCTCGAGCTGCTTGTGGGCTACCGCTTCGTTACCGCCATCTTCGTGTTGCCCCATGAGAAGTTCCACTTCCTACGCATTTACAACCAGCTGCGGGCCTCACCGCAAGACCTGAAGACCGTGGTTATTGCCAAGATGCCTGCAACTGGGGACCAGTCCCAGAGTCCCCTTGTGGATGGGCAGCCTGCTGAGGACAGGGCCAGGTGAGACCAATCAGCAGGCTCTCGGAGGTTAGGGGACATGGGCTGGTAGGTGCCCAGAGAGTTCCTGGCACTGTCTCAAACCAGGTCTCTGCGACATGTGGGTGGGCCTGACTTAAACCTTCCAGCTCCTGATCACCCTCAGCATCACCCCTGGCTCCCTCCGGCTTGGTGCTGAGCTGCTGCTTCTCTCCTGAGGCTGCAGATCAGGAAAGCTGTCCTTTCACAGAGACAAACTGGCCAGTTCCCTGCCACTTAGGGTCCTGCATGCCTGGGTCACTGGGATTCCATCACCAGTGGGGGCAGGCAGAAGGGGCTGATCCTCTCCACTCTGCCCCATGGGCCAAGCACAGCCTTAAGGTGTGACTCATCACTCACTCCCTCTCTTGGGACTCACAGTCCAAAGCCTTACTACCCCGTTGGTGAGCTCCGTACCCATTCTTTGGAAGACCTGGATTGCTGAGGGCCCCCCTCTGCATGTAGTTTTGAGTCTTTCCAAGGGACCCAAAGGGCCAAGAGTAGCAATGTCTGCATGTATGAGCTGGACATATGATCTTATGCAAAACTTTTCTGGGGGAAACCCTGTCCTTGTTCTAATTCTCCCCATCCTGTCTCTGATCCTTTAGCCTAGCTTCACATGGGTTCTCTCCATCTTGGATTTCCCTCAGGGCTGGGAGTTGAGGTGGCCATTAGGGAGCATAATCACCCCCACCTGAGGTCAAGTAGGAGGCCTTGTACCCTTTATGGTACCTCTATCTCCTGTCCCCCTGGCTTCAGATAAACCTAGGGTTTCCCCACCTGGGCAAGCATTTGGTGACCTTCCTATCCTAAGACATGGTTCACTCATTATCGCTTCTTCCTGGTGGACAGTGGAAGAAACCCTGTCTGTACCCCAGCATTTTACAGAGCCTGCTTCCTCCTTCTAGCCCAGTCCCCCAACTGGTGCTCCCAAAGCACTTCCCCCTTTTCCTGGCTGATTCTAGTATGCTCTCATATCCAACTCCAGATCCATGCCCTCCACAGGCTCCCCTGATGCCTCCAAGTGCTGGATGGAGGGCAGCTTGTGCGAGAGGTGGCCCTGCATGACTGTCTTCCCCTCTCCTTGCTTCTGTGCTGAGGCTGCAGTTGGTGACATTTCCTTGCATCCCTGAACCTGGCTGGCATCTGCCCATTGTGGTGAAATCCCTAGGTGGCCCCAGAGGTGGTGTGTGGCACATACATCCCTTCACTCTGAGGTTGTGCATGTAATGTCAATATTCTTTTGGGGTCCTCACATTAATACAGTGTTTTGGGGGGGGATTGGGAAATGTAGCAATGACCAGCGACCCCAGGAGGTCCCAGTAGAGGCCCCAGCTCCGGTCCCAGTGGAGGCACCAGCCCTCGCCCAGGCGCCTGCAGAATCCTCAGCTCCGGCCCCAGCAGAGGCTTCAGTGCCACCTTTGGTCCCAGTGGGGGCCCCAGCAGAGGCCTTGGCCCCAGAGGAGATCCCAGTGGAGTCCTCATCCCCGGCCCCAGCAGAGACCCTGGCACAAGCAGAGGCCCCTGTCCAGTATCCAAGTGAGCACCTGATCCAGTCCACCTCGGAGGAGAACCAGATCCCCTCGCATCTGCCCGTCTGCCCATCACTCCGGCACATTGCCAGCCTGCGGGGGAGCAGCATCATCGAGTTCTTCCACAGCAGCATTGCTGAGGTAGTGACCCATGCATTGGTCTCACTGGGTGGCACTTGTGTGGATAAAGGTGGCAGTCCATCCTGCTCTGGCTGAGGTAGGGCTTGCCTTAGGCTCAGCCGCAGGTTCTCAGGCTTCTCTATGCCAGTTTTCCCCTCCAGCTTCAGCTATTCACAGCGTTGAGGGTCTTGGTAGGGAGGTCCTGGGCTGCCATCTCCAGGCCAGTTGTCTTCTCTGTCATCGCCTCCCTCTGCAGACACTCCTCATCTTAGATTCCTGGGCAGACCCCACTGCACATCCAGCTTCCCTCACTTCCTCACTGCCTCTGAGCTGATCATACATTACCAAGGTATAATGAAGGTCCTTAGTCTCTCTAATCTCAAGGCTGTGGGCATGACCCTGGAACATGTGGGCCACCAGGGCGATGGGGCTCAGAAATGTAGTGCCCGGCCTGGAAGTGTTTCCAGGCCTGGTTTAGAAGAGAAGGTACTGTTGCACCCAGCCCTGTTTTGCAAGCCCAAGCCTGACCCTCTCTGTGTCCAGGTTGAAAACGAGGAGCTGAGGCACCTCATGTGGTCTTCAGTGGTGTTCTACCAGACCCCTGGACTGGAGGTGACTGCCTGTGTGCTGCTCTCCACCAAGGCCGTGTACTTTGTGCTGCACGATGGCCTCCGCCGCTACTTCTCAGAGCCTCTACAAGGTAGGCACCAGTGCCTGGGACTGCGGAGCTTGTACCCTAGGAGACAGGCAGGGGTGGTCTCAGGCTAGCTATGCTGCTTTCGACAATGGCGACTTGGCTGCACTGGGTGGAGAATCCCTTGTTTGACGAAAGGGCCTGACAGCAGCGCTTCCTCCTGGAACTGTCAGGAGAGCCTCAAGCCAGGTCCTGCTCTTGCTTGGGAATTGGCCGCAATGACAAGGGGCTGCCCCTCGCAGCTTCCGTGGGAGCCTTTGCCCGTGGCTTTTGTAGGGCATCTCATGATTCCAAGCCAAGTGAGTTCCGACCCTGACGTGCATTGCCCCTGAGGTGCTGTGTGCGTAAGGGTTGTGGTTATGCCTCACCAGCCAGCCAAGGGGTCCCCTTTCTGCTGGACAAAGCCAGGCACCTGAGACCCTTTCAACTCACCACCATGCTCAGTCCCCTTCTCTCCATCACAGATTTCTGGCATCAGAAAAACACTGACTATAACAACAGTCCCTTTCACATCTCCCAGTGCTTTGTTTTAAAACTCAGTGACCTGCAGGCAGTCAACGTTGGGCTTTTTGACCAGTATTTCCGGCTGACGGGTGAGTGACCTGCTGTGCTTTGTCCTATTTTGGGTGATGGCCATTGTCACCAGTGAACTCCCACCCCCCACCCCCCACATGTGGGCACATTATCACAGGCAGAATTATCTCTCTGCTCACCAGCCAGTTCACCAGGGCGAGAGGAAACAGCTTCAGGAACTGCTGAGTGCAGAACTCACCCCCAGGACTTGGAACAGGGAGGCAGGCAACAGGCAGCAGAGTGCTGGGCGGGCGGGCAGAGTGGGCCCTGGGCTCTTGGGCAGGATGTTTCTGACTCATGCTTCCTGAAGAGAGAAAGCTAAGCTCTTTCCCTAATGCCTCTGTATCCCCTTCCAGAAAAATGTCATAGCCCTTCCGGCCTGAGTAGTGGCCATCTCCCCAGGCCCTGTGATGCTTCCCCACGTGGTCCCTCCTGGCCCTGGCTCTGTGGTCTTCAGGTCTCAGAGACTATAGTTGGCCCCACAGGCAGGGACAGGGTGGGAGGAGCAGCGGCCTGCAACCATGACCTGCCCGTTCTCTGCAGGCTCTTCTCCAGTGCAGGTGGTCACATGTTTGACACGGGACAGCTACCTGACACACTGCTTCCTCCAGCACCTCATGGCTGTGCTTTCCTCTCTGGAACGCACACCCTCACCTGAGCCTGTCGACAAGGACTTCTACTCTGAGTTTGGAAACAAGACCACAGGTATTCTGGCCGCAGACCTGACCCCTAGACTGACTTCGCAGCTTCCTCACTCACCCCAAGAACTAAAATAGACTCCAGAACACCTCTGCCTGTCTCACTTTTTGTTTCTTCCTGCTTAGCTGACTACAGTTTTCCAAGGCATAGCAAACCCTCAGTCACCCAGCAGGTGCATTTCAGTTTCTGCTCCACTCTGGGCCTGAGTATAGGGGTTTAGAATGTGTTCTCCCGCCTCTGACAGGCAGCAGCTTGTGCTGCCATTGCTGGGTGTCTTGGGGCTATTGGCACTCCCAGCCCCACCACAGACCAGCTCTAGACTCCAACCCTGATAGGTGTTTCTCTCTGTAGGGAAGATGGAGAACTACGAGCTGATCCACTCAAGCCGTGTCAAGTTCACCTACCCCAGTGAGGAGGAGATCGGGGACCTGACATTCATCGTGGCCCAAAAGATGGCTGACCCGGAGAAGGCGCCAGCCCTAAGCATTCTGTTGTACCTACAGGCCTTCCAGGTGGGCACACCACCACCTGGGCGCTGCAGAGGCCTGTTGCGCCCTAAAACTCTCCTGCTCACCAGTGCCGAGATCTTCCTCCTGGATGAGGACTTTGTTCATTATCCACTGCCCGAGTTCGCCAAAGAGCCACCACAAAGGGACCGGTACCGGCTGGATGATGGCCGTCGTGTCCGAGACCTGGACCGCGTCCTCATGGGCTACCAGCCCTACCCACAGGCCCTCACCCTTGTTTTTGACGACATGCAGGGCCATGACCTCATGGGCAACGTCACCCTGGACCACTTTGGGGAGGTATCGGGTGGTCCAGCCAGAGGTGGCCAAGGTCGGGAGGTCCAGTGGCAGGTGTTTGTGCCCAGTGCTGAGAGCCGTGAGAAGCTCATCTCTCTTCTGGCTCGCCAGTGGGAGGCCCTGTGTGGCCGTGAGCTGCCCGTTGAGCTCACTGGCTAGCCCAGTCACAGCCAGCCCTTGCCGCCCGCCGTGAGCTGGTGTTCACTCAGGCCAGGGGCCACAGGCTTTATTTGTTTTTAAAATGTTTTCTCCTCCCTTTTGGTACCTTCACTTGACTGTCCTCCCAGAGAATGTGAACATATGTGTTCAGTTACTTCTTTCTAATAATGGGGGTGAAGGGGCAGCCCCTCCAGGGCTATCTGGGCCTCATCAGCCTCTCTTGGATATGTTGCCCGCCCCCAGCGTGGCATGGCCAGGCACCCCAGTGTTGTGTCTTCTGTTGTGGGACCGTTGTTAACACGTGGGTCTGATGTACTCTTTCACATGTCTTTTCCTAAAATGTGGTCTTCAGTCTTGTTGCTGTTGCTGTCATTGTGAGCGTTTGCTGCTAATTATGAAGCAAAATGCACATTGGAAGCTCCCGCCCTGTGCAGTTTTCCAAAGTAGAGGCCTCTCCTGGTCCAGACAAGTGGGAGAACTTGGAGGGCAGGAATCCCACAGGCCTTGGGGCTGAGATGAAGGCAGGGGACCTAGAACTGCCAGCGCCAAGTGTGATTCCCACTGCCTATTTTCTGTATTCCAATAAAGCAGAGTTTGACACAGTCTGGGTCTTTTATTTCAAGGCTACTGGGGTCCCAGCAGGGCATTGGCCTGGGGCTTGGACGGCTTGAGGGGGAGAAGGTGCCCTGGAGACACAGGAAGGTGAGATATGTGGGGGTGCAGGGGGAGGAGGGAGGGCAGTGGGCGGACTCCCAGGGCACAGGAGAGCTGGGGCAGGGTTGGTGTGAGAGGACCTTTGGACATGGCCTTGCTGGGCTATGGCTTAACCAAGAGCCTTGGGCAAACCAAAGATTGTAAGGCTCCTTGAGGCACACCTGGCACTAACCCTTCTGCTTCCTGCAGGTCTTGAACATCACACCTGGACCCAACTGCACCTGAAGCCGCAGTGTATTGTATGTGCAGTTCGGGATTACTTACTGTGTGCCTCTGATGGTCCTGCACGATGGTCTGCAAGGGGAAGACTTGCAGAGAGGAAGGTCCTGTGCTCATCCATGTCTGTGTTCATGTCCTTAGAGCTGGGGATTGCCTCAGAGTCCTGATGAGGTAGGACGTGGGATTTCTGTGGGAGCCGGTCCCTGTGCCCCATCCTTCCTCCATACGCTCCTAATCCCAGAGTAGGCCCTGAACCCCCACTCACCTCTCACCCTGGCCCAGTCAGGAGTCTTGGCCCTCAAGCCTTCAAGATATTTGGGCCAGGCCAGGTTGTGGGGAGGTAGAGTGGTCAACCTGCCTCCCAGACCTACTTTTTCTGTTTTCCCTTAATGCCCATAGGGTGGGGATTCTGGCCTGGAGGGCCCATCATCCTGGGGAAAGCTTGGGGGGCAGGTGTGGAGCTAACAAAGGGAGAGTCTTGCCATTCACAACCCCCACACCCAAATCTCAAAAGTTCCTCACTGAGGAGAAGGGGGCAGGTGACAAGTTTTTCTCCAATCAGGCCTTTATCAAAGGAGAGTTGATAAATGACTACCTGCCTCTCTCCATCTCAGTTCCGTCATCTGTAAATGCAAACTGACAATCAGAGGTAGGGTCCACCAAGCCCACACCTGGCACATACAGGCCTTGCCACCTGGGCTGCTATCCCCAGGTCCCAGCCTGGGTCCATGAGGACAGCACCCAGTGGTGGGCAGCGGGGCTTAGGATTGAATCTTAAAACTGACTGAACAACCTTAGACAAGTTGCCTAGACCTTCACTCTCGGTTTTCTCACTAGTAACATAATGAAAGTAACGACATTCATTAATTCCACAAATCTGTATTGAGCATCTACTATGTGACCCAGCCAGACTCCATCCTGCACTCCCATAGCTGACATTTCATGGGACAGAAAAACTAAACCAGTGTCAGTGCTATGAATGAAAGCTAATCACCTTTGACGTGAGACTGGACCTTGTGGTGAGCCCCTTTGAGAGGATCTGGGGTGACAGCAGCCCCAGCAGAGTTCACTTGACCCCATTAAGAGGTTTACACAGGCCCACATGACTGGAGCAGAGGGATGGATAGGGAAGCAGGCAATGAGGTTGGAGAGGCCCCTGTAGAGAGGGGTTTGGCTGGGTTCTGTGGGAAGCCTTGGTTACACCTGATAGATTGGGGAGTGAGGGGCCCTAGCAGCAGAGAATAGTCCCCTTGGGGATAGAAGGGAGGCGTGGGACTCATGGGTATGGGGTGGTGGAAGCCAAGCCCACAGACCCTGTCAGAAGGGTAGCTGGGCAAGTATGAAGAGTTACTGTCTAACCCACTGTACTGCCTGGCAGCAGCAGGACAGATGGGATTCAGGGACTGCCCAGCCCCCAACTCTAGGACCCCTCCCCCGCCCCTGAATGAAACACTGGGCTGGCAGACACTGGGAGTGGGGAGTTGTTTGCGCTACACTGGAATTGGCTTCACAACCTCTGGTGGACCCTAGGATAATGGTGGGCTAGGAGCCTGTGAGCCAGGAGGAGGACCCTGGCCGGGAAGCCCCAAGTAGGGTTCAGGCTGGCCATGTGGGGGTCAGTGGCCAGCACCTTCCCTTCCGCCTGCAGGCTGCTGATACGCAGGAGGAAGTCCTGGTGGGTTCCTGTGGGGGTGAACTGGCGGGGCCTCCGGATTGCTTTTAAAGCGACTGCCCGCCCTGTCCCGCCTGCCTGCCTGTGCCTGCCTCCCAGCGCATTCCCCAGCTACCCGCTCTCTGCCCTGACTGCCTGGGACGGTGACTCTGCCCTGGTCAACGTGCCTGTCAGCCGCCAGCCATGGCAGGGCTCCGGAGCCACCTCCTGCTCTGCCTCTTGGCCGCCTGCCTGCCAGGCTCCAGCTTCATCAGGGGGCAGGAGGTGAGTGTGAGCCGGTGGCAGAAGGATGTGATATTTGGGCCTTGCTGGCCGGGGTGGGAACGGGAGGGAGCATACCCAGATCAGCCTTGGGTATGGAAACTTATAGGGCAGCCTGGGCTTGTCTGGCATCTGAGCAGTACCAGAGGGCCAGCCACTGTGCCCAGCTCCCAAGGCTGAGGTCTGTCTGCCTGGGGTGCCAGGGGTGTGTCAGCCTGTCCTCTAAATGTGCCCAGCCAAATAGCCATGCGGTTTGGGCAGCTGTCCAGGACTCCCCAACCTGAGGGTGAGGGGTACAGACCAAGACCCATCCTCCTGCCCTCTCTGCCCACATGGAGGCTTGGTCTTTCTGCGCCCCTCTCCTGGAGGTGGATGAGAAAGCTTCTACTCTTCTCGAGATGACTCACGTGGAACATGTGTGTGTGTGCTGGGCATGTGTGCACATGTGTGCACAAGAGTGCTTGGAGGCAGAATGAGGTCTACCCCTCTCCTCTGGCTAAGCAGCAGCCAACAAAACACCCTCAAGCCTAAGAAATACTGTTAATCCAGCACTCAATCCTGGGCACATCTGGGTGTTCTCCCTTGAATCCTCACAGCCCTCGGGCTGTGAGTCCTGTTGTTCTCTGCCTGAGGAAGCCAAGGCCCACAGATGATGGAGACGGGTCGGCCACCCTCTGGAGCCATGCTCCAGGTGCTGCCTGGCATTCCCTACCCAACACGAGAGAGGAGCCCCATGTGAGGCTGTCTGGTCTGTGTGTGCTAACCCCCTCCAGGCTGCCTGTCTGCAGGTCCACATAAGCCCCATAGTAGCAATATTGTCCTATCAGAGTTTCTGGAAGGCCCTCCCCCCTGATTATGAAGATAGTTACCTGGCTGGGACCTGCCTCCAGGTGAGGGGCCCTCCCCTGTGACGCCAAGTTCATCTGACTCAGGACAGCTGCCGTCCCATGTTATTAGTGGGAGTCTGAGGTACAGAGAAAGAAAGGCTTTCACTACCAGGTAGAGCCAGGGCAGGGACACAGGCCCTTGCCACCACTGGGCTCTTTCTTTCATGCTTCTGTGGACCCTCAGAGTAGGGACCGGGAGAGGCCCTACAAGTTTCAGGCTCAGGTCAGGGTTGAGGATCGGCAGAGTTGAGGCTGAGAATGTGACAGTGATGGTGGAAGAGCCAAGTGTTCCAGGCTATGCTGAACCCTGCGGTTGGTTTCCTGCTCCTTGCCTCAGTTTCCCCATGTGTTCAATGCCAGGGAATTTCACAGACTTTGCTACAGGCTTCCTCACATCCTGGCTAGTCAGACTGGGGTCTCTGCCTTGTCAGAGAAGGAAAGCCCTAAGTCTGCCTTTCAGGACTGGTCCTCAGCCAGATCGGGCCAGTGAAGAGGCTGGGGATTCTTGTGAACAAGGATGCAGAATTGCTTCCCTGTACCCCTGTAGCATGAGACCCACTGTACATACAGGAAACTGAGGCTCTGAGGGGAAGGGATGACCTCTGGGTTACACAGCTAGTGAGGGGCAGCACAGGACTCAACTCAAAACAGCCAGTTCTGGCAACAGAGGCCAAGGAGGTTTCCTGGAGAGGGGCTTTTAGCGCCTGTCCATTCAATATGGTGTTCACCGAGCACCTCCATGCTGGTAGATGTGATCTCGAGCCAGGGCTTGAGGGAAGAGGGGTTTTGGCCACTGGCCCCCTCCTTTCTCTGGTCTAGGGCAGGGGAATCTCTTCTAAGGTTGGGGTTCTGGGTCCTTGGCCCTAGAACCTGGGGGATTTCTTCTACCTTCTCACATCAGGCTTAACACCTCCTGCCTCCTCTGCCTCCCCAGCAGCATCTCTGTGGGAAGCAAATGTTGCAAAATCATTTATGAGTTGGGGCAGGGAGGTGGGGCGGCACCTGCCAGGCTCAGGCAGCCCCAAGGTGCCACAGGAAGGGAATCTGATTCAGCACTGGGCCACGATCCAGCCTCGCTCCACCCAGTGGGCCAGGACTGCTGCTTCCCCGCCCATGCTTTGGGCAACGGGGGCCTGAATGCCAGTCTCCTGTGTGGTCTCTGGGGAGGAGGGTGATTTGACCCTGGTTTACCCTTCTATCAACATTTCACACACATTTACAAACACAGTATCCTGTATGAGTATCACTACACAATCCCAGGCTCCTGTTTCCTCCACGCCTGTAACTCACCCACTGTTTCGGGAGCCCTGCTCTGCCTGAGTGTGAGGACAGCCTTCTCACCCCATGTCCTTATCCAGGCTTAGCCAATGTTCCTCCGAGGCTGGTTCCCTGGGCCAGAGGTAACTGCGGTGGCAGCTGGGTGAGCAGGCCAGGTGGCCCTAGGGGAGCCCGCCACCAGCCCGGCTTTTGCCCTGAGCCAGCAACTGCCTGGCCAAGTTACCCAACTTCCTGGTCAATCCCTGGCTCAGCAAAGACAGGCTCAGGGAAGGGAATGAGACCACAACATCCCACTGCTCAACGCTGAGGCCGCTCAAAGCAACTTCCCTCTTTACAGACCGCAAAGGCATGAGCGGAAAAGGCCAAATCTCAGTGGCAGAGAGAGGCGGTGGAACTCCTTTGTTCAGAAGAAAGCGTCAGGCACTATTTCTCCTTTTCTCTTGCTCTAACAGGCCATAGATACGTGATTTGTTCTGGGAAAGAGGTGCTCTGGGTCCACTCTTTGGATCGCAATATGTTCAGCTTTTTTTTTTTTTTTTTCCTGAAGACAACTTCCTCAGGCCATGTCCCAAGTCCCCAGAACCTTTCCTCCATCAAAGTGCACCTTACCTGTGGCCCTTTGTCACACTTCAAACCAAGAACATAACTTCTGTCCCTCCAGGGGATGACACGGTGGGTTACTAGGGCTTTTTTTCTGTGTAGGTGCCCAGTGCTGGACACAGGGAAGTGTGGCAGGTAGCAAATAGACCTGCTGGACTGGGACCTTCTTGGCCCTCTCAGGTTCTCCAGGCAGCAGCCAGAAGGCCCACTTAAAACACGAATGGAGTCGTGGGTTCTGCCTCACCTCATTGGCCTGGCTGCCAGCCTCTTCATTCTCTCCTTGGCTGCTCTGCCTTGTCATACATGGTCCTTTGCTCCTTCCCACTTCCCAGCCTTGGCTCTGCTGTTCTCCCTGCCAGGAAACTGCCCTGGCCAGCAATCACCCATCCGTCAGGTCCTAGCTCCCCTGGGAAGCTGCTCCAAGTCTGGGTCCTCTTGGTCCCCTCTGCCAAAAAGGGCCCATCTAGTGACAGGCAGTAGACACCTGGGTCCCAGTGGGGCTGTGGGGCTGTGGGGCAGGCCTGGAGTCAGGCTCTGTGAGAGTAACTGGCCCAGACACAAGCAGACGCCCTTGCTCATGCCTATTCTCGCAGGCCCGGACTCCCGGCTTTGGGGCTGACTCTGGGTCAGCAGGGAGTGCCCTTGAACTTGCTGAGAGAGGATCATTCATTGCCAACATGGGGATGTGCCCCTGTGGTGTAGCTGGAGGCCCAGCCCCACAGAGTGTGGCCTGTGCCTGGGAATTGATGGAGTCGCTGTGTTCTCCTTCCAAACAGTGCCAGCTGAGTCAGTTATTTTCAAATGAAAGGCAAGAATGAGCTCTAGGTTGTAGTTGCTGATTCTTAATGGGCCACTGGATGCCTTTAGGCCAAGGCCACTGCCTGGGGTTCATTTTCCTTATCTGTAATGGACCAACATGGAAAAAAGTGGCCAGATTCTCCCGAAGGTAGACAGGCTTCTGGGCCCTGGGCGGAAGTACATGGCTGTTGACATGGGGGTGTGCTGTGGCAGTGATAAGTGATGTCAGGCAGGTTCCCCCTGTGTGGGACCTTCCTGTCCTCACCGCATCCCCACTGAACAAGTGGGAAACAGGCCCAAAGAGGGATGATCAGGACAGTCAGGATGGGGGCCGGTTCAAGCCTTCACTCCAAACTCCATACCCCAGGTGCGATCCAAACACTGCGATGTCAAGACCAAGTTTGTCACTCGTGTACCCTGCACCATGTGCCCTGCCATCAAGAAGCGGTCGTGTCCCCCAGGCTGGCTTCGGGACTTCCCAGAGAAGATATTACAGGACTGCCAGTGCGGACTGCTTCCGGGAACATCTCCTGGGGAGGCAGGGAATCAGGGAGAGTCTGGCAAGCTTGGGGAGTGAGGGCAAGGCCTCACTTACACCCTCTGTCAGCCCCTCTGAGGGAGCACAAATGGGCAGGGGGAAGGGATAAGAGAGCAGGGTGTTCCTTGGGTGCCTACTACCTGTGAGGCCCAGGGCCAGCCCAGGCAGGGGGAGGAGGGGTAAGGACTCCTGAAATGGCTGAGGGAGGCTGGGCTGGGGGGCCCTCCCACCACATCTCCCAGCCTCCCTCTGTCCCCAGCTACGAGGTAAAGCTGGGGGACTCTGTAGTGTCCATGAGAGGCTGCAGCCTGGAGTGCTGGAGGAACGAAGTACAGAAGGCCTGCTGCCCTGGCTACTGGGGGTCCCAGTGCTATGGTATGAGGGGTGTACAGCCTTGCTCCTGTGCCCCAGATGCCACCTGGGCTCCCCATCTGCAGCAAGGCACTTGGGGTCAGGGCTAAATGAAGAGCTTTTGAGGTATAATTGTGTTCTGGGGCTTATCTACAGAGTGCCCGGGGGGTGCAGAGAACCCATGCAGTGGACACGGGACCTGCCTGGATGGCATAGACAGAAACGGGACCTGTGTGTGCCAGGTAAGGACCAGGTAGGTCTGGGGTGGGGCGCAGTGGTGAGGCCACACTGACTTGGTGCCTCCCTCTGCCAGGAGAACTTCAGTGGGTCAGCCTGCCATGAGTGCCGCGACCCCAACCGGTTTGGGCCTGACTGCCGGTCAGGTGAGCACTGGCAGGGCAGAAGGGCATGGCAAGTGACCCACCCCTGGGACCCACTTCTTACAACCAGCCCCCACTAGGCTATTCTTGGAGGCAGCCTCTGGGAAGTCCTGAGCTCCTGGGTTGGGCCAGGCAACTCCCAACAGCCAGGATCCATGGTCCTGGATCACAACTCTACTCTTGAGCTTGTGCCTGCCAGAGCTGAGTTGTGGAGGTGTGGAGGGCAGGGATTCATTGTTCCTTTTTCCCTGTGAGGTTGTGGGGTCTCACCTGACCCTGTTTGTTCCTCCCAGTGTGTAGCTGTGTGCATGGTGTATGCCGTAAGGGACCACTCGGGGATGGAAGCTGCCTGTGCTTTGCGGGGTACACTGGACCCCTCTGTGACCAAGGTGAGTGCTGCTGGGCAGCAGGTCTCTGCCACCAGAGCAAGAGAGGCCAAGTGGGTGCAAGATGGGCTTGTACTTCAGCAGAACCACTGCCTACAGCCTCATTTCCAAATAGGACAGCATTCAGCTGGTTGGAGGGAGGAGATGTTATTCAGGAACTCCCCTGCCCAAGGCCCAGAGAGGGCAGGGCCCTGGCCAGAGGCACACAGCCAATCCCACAAAGCAGCTTTGCTCCTCTGTTCCTCCCCAAACTGGCCATTCACGCCACCATGGCTCTCTCTTTTCTCTACTCAGAGCTGCCTGTCTGCCAGGCCCTGCACTGTCCCCAGAACTCACAGTGTTCTGCAGAGTCCCCCACCTGCCACTGCCTGCCTGGCTACACCAAGCAGGGCAGTGAATGCCGAGGTAAGTGTGTGACTGAGACCAGGAACCTCAGCTCAGGTGAGCAGATGCTGGGAGGTCATCCTTTTAAAGCAGCAAGTTCAATCTGGCCATTTATGAGGACAGAAAATGAGGGGAACAGAGCCTGTCCCCAAGGTCAAGATCAACTGGCTCACCCCAATTTTGGGCTATCCTGGTGGAAGCTGTGGGGAAGCAGGGCTGCACAGCACTTGGCTCACTGGGCTCTCTCTACCCTGGCAGGTCCTGACCCCTGCTCACCATCGCTCTGCTCGCCACTGGCCCAGTGCT